TTATCAGACAGATGAAGAGTTGGGTAAAGCAATGGAGAGAGAAGGGAAAAGGAAAGAGGAGGTGTCTGGGTCGTGGAAAGACATCTGTTTGGTCTGCTCTGCTTCCCAGATTCCTTCACATCTACTCAACCCAGGCCCCCCTTACACACATCCTAGGTTTATTTCTGGTCAGCATTTGCAATGAAGAACTCAGTGTTTAGACGTGAGCTGTTTGGATAAAGTGGGCCGCATGTGTGACAGATCCTGCAAGTAAAAGCTTGTATCACTGCACACTCGAAGGTACTACATCTAAGACACATTATACCTCACCACGACTCACTCATGAATCAGTGCGCAGACCATCCTTCTCTATCCCACCAAGTTTTATTACAAATGTGTTTACTGCTAATCAGTGTAATGGACTAGACTAATAGCACTTGAATGTGTGTTTAACTTATATATTCTGCAGGCCCTGAGAGATGACAGGGCTCTTACAAGGATGGTGGTTGTAATATTGAATTATAAAACCTATTCAAGATCCTGTCAAGAGACCCTTTATCCTGTGTGAAGTAACATCTATGGGTTCTTTTATGTGTTAGATTTGTTATGCAGCATGGCTTTATAAAGTATTTATCAAGGCTTTATAAGACACTAAAATTGTAATCAGTTCATGAGCCTCCTTCAGCGGTCGAGCGGCCCATGCTGTTGAATACTCTATTCCAAGGACTGGGTAAGCCTCGCAGCATTTCAACTTCTGCCAGACCTATTCCTCTTGGGTCAGTTAATATGAACTTCAATATCTCTCGTTGAAATAAATACCATAACAGAAAATCTGAGGGATTTCATAGCCTCTCCGGATCCTAATCCTTGATGGAAACAGAGGAGACTGAAACCTAATGTTCATTTGGCCCCTAATAATTAAAATGAAAGAAGTGTGGAGTACCAAAAGCAGACAGATGTGACTCTTGCCTCGTATGACAGGACCAGTCTGTCGCAGCTGGACTTTTCTCACTTGGATATAAGCCTCTCCTTTTGTACCTCAAGCGTATAATACTTCACATTAATATACAGTGTAACATTAGATAGTTTATAGCCCTGCATTATGTCAAGGCTGGCCGTGGCTGGGAGCACAGGCAGGAGAATGTTGTGGTCAGCGGTGGGTCAAAAAGACTGTCAGAGCTCAGGGCTGGCAGGAAGCCAGGCTCTGTACGTGTCTGCTCCGAATGTTAATGGATTAATGCTCACCACACACACGGCAAGGCCGGGGAAACTCAAGACGACTTTTAACGTGAAAGGCCGCCAATAAGTCGCCATCATAAATTCAGGGACACATGCTGTCTGTACCAGCGCTGCAGCCAGGCATGTTTCCTACGGGAGGCCGAGGCCGAGGGGCTGCTGGACGGGGGTGGGGGGGGGGGGGGGCAGGTGGGCTGGTCTTTGGCTGACCTTGCTGCCCAAGCCCCACAAGATATCGCCAAGAGTGCGCTGGCAGCTGTGGTCTCGCTAAACAACACTCAGGACATTATGTAGCGCAGGTACACCGGTGCAGTTTTCCACCCAGAAACAACAGCGCTCTCAGTGTTTAAACCCACAGCCTGCTGATGTAACGTTTTCTGCTCCAATAAAGGCCCATTCTATGACATAATTCCTCTCTTAATTGCTGTAAGCGAGCAGCTTAGGCTTGTCTAATGTGAATTTCCACATGGCAAAGAGAGCTGTTGTTGTAGTGCTCAGAAAGTGTGCAGTGACATACCCAATCACCATGTGTAATTTAGCAGCGGGGGACAATGAGCTAATCTCGCAGCCAAGCGTATACTACCAATTTAAAATCAATAAAGATGCTTGGTGTTTTTTAGGACCTCCAATTGAGCTGCGCTGTGAATAAGAGCTAGACTTGAAGAGCGCCGTCTGCCTTCACAGGGGGTCATTTTCAATCCACCAATGGATTCACAGCACATTCCACTGCAAAGTTTCAAACACATTTTGACACTAATGCAGCCGATTCTTCCTAATCATTTTGCTGTTACCCGCCATGCAATTAGCTCTGATTGTGTCAGTGAGTGATTCTCGGTCATGCATTCATGAATTGACTTGGAGAAAATCATTAGCTCCGTGGTTTTAAATAGTTGAAAGGAAAACAAGTGACACATGCCTGGAAAAAAGTTATGGTGTTGGAATTTGTAATCAAATTATTTTATTCTAGTAAATAAAACACTGCTGCGGTCTACTATGATTTTCTGTCCGACCACTGCAGACTTACTTAATGCCTTCAATCTTTTTCTGCTTTCTCTTCCCTGCAAATTAATTTATGGTCTAATTACAAGACAAGCCCCCAGATATGAAGGAGCACAAATCACTGGTCTTTACCAGATGGCAGAAAAACGGCACAGGATAATTGAAAATCTAGAAGTGGATCAATATTTAGGAGCCCAAGGTTACATGTTGTGTGACACTACTATTAACATGGAAATATGATACATTACATCCACAGGCAAATTGACTTCTGTTATTTGTTGGTGAATGAGAAGTAACTTGAGAGGAATTAGTTCTGGTTTATCAACGTCAAATAGCTTTAAACCAGCATTCCTGATACCCAAGCACCCCGTGATCTATTAGATATGAAACCTCCGCCATACAGGCTTGTACACCAGGTCAGTGGTGTTTGCTGCAGGTCTTCTTTGTGGCACAGCGTACAGAGAACAAGAAAGCGCCACTGTGTCACTATCTGTGGCCCACCCCACCCTTCTCTAGCATTTACCTCTGGCCTGTTAAAAATGATATCAGCTCATGGAGGGCAAGCATTAGCATTTGCATTTTATTGGAAGCACAGAGATTTAGAGCCGAGGATATATCAGCTCTGAGCAGACAGAATTAGTTAACAATGCATTACCTGCCTTTTATGGCAGCTATAACTCTTCCCCCCTGGTGGGGGAGAGGAGATGAAGGGAGGAGTGTGAAAGAAGAGGAGGAGGCCTAGGTGGTGAAGGGGAAAGGCAGCCAGCAGAAGGTTGGCGGCGGGAGCTGTGCCGCGCGAGAAAGGGGGCATTTAGAACATGGAAGCTTTGTCTTTGGTGCTTTACTGCACATTAAGCGTGACAGCCACACAAATTAGTGCGTCACATCGCAGTCACCTTCACACAGATCAGCTCCGTGCGCACGGAGATGATGAGCCGGTCGTCACTGCAGACATTTTTATCTGAATTGCAACAAGGAAGAGGGGACCCAGCTGCCCAACAGTTGTACTTACACGATCCCCCCGCAAAAGAAAAGCCACATCAAATTACACCCCTCTCTCCGATACTCATTTCACCAGCTCCTCTTGACACCAGCTGAAAACTATGAATCTCTTTTTCTTTAGTGCGCCGTTTCCTTGGCTTTCCGTTATCAGAGCGAGCACACGCTCGTTGGGCTGTTGTTTCAGGGGGATCCTCCAGCAAGCTGCAGCTCTGATTAGACCCTCTGTGGCGGTCCCTCTCCCTCGCCACAGCTGCACAGTAGCTCCCCGGGCACTCCTTCGGAATAATGTGCTGCAAGATGACCCACCTCTGCCTGCGGGCTTTACCCTGTGGAGCTCATTTGCACTGGAAGTTTCAAGTAAGGACGAATATGTTTGAAGCGCAGGGAGGGGAGGTTGAAAATAAATATGTTTACAGCGACAAATAATAGCCAGTGAGACGGCACACTTACAACACAAAGGGGCCCAGACATTTCAGTTCCGCTCGTAGCTAAAATGTTTTGTGCAGACAGCTCCTGTGCGAACACACGTGTTCAACACTAGCACAAGTCTCATTTCACATTCTTGTCTTTGAGATCTTTTTTTTTTTTTCTTTCAGAGGCGCTTTATTCTGTATTCCAATAAACCACATGTCTGAACTGCATTTTCATCTGTATTTGCGTTGTGCGCCAGTAGCGAAGCTCCCCTGAGTGCCACAGTGACTTTCCCATCCAAGCCTACTGGCCTGGGTTTGTCAGCAAGACAGCTCCAGGCTCCATAAAACAGCCTGCTGCTCTCTCCCTTCACCCAGCTTAATGGTCCCAGGGGCTGGATATTTACTAGTGACCTTTGCATTCCATTTGGAGTGTAAAAGGCTTTTTGCGAGGAAAATTCCATCACTTTCGATGTAGCCTGGCAGCGCTGCGTAGATGTGTGTGCGTGTGCATGTCAAAGAGGGCTGCTTATAAAAGGCAGCAACAAAGAAAAAGATGGTGGTAGGAGACAAGACTCAACCCTCCCTTCAAGTCTCGGTGATCTTTCATGTGGATACCATAGCAGAGACGGCATTCATGAAAAACATTTAAAACATATTTGAGAAAATTGTCCAAAAAAATAAAAAATAAAAAGTTATGTGTGGCAGATTGAAATGTAATTTTAGGGAGTCTTTGTGGAAATCAATTGGTTCCCCTCTCTTAATTCAAGTTGAGAATCCATCTTTTCCTACCATTAAAGCATGACATTTTCTCTGTATTGACTTTGTTATTCAAACTGTGGCGTTTTTTCCTTCACTGATATTTTTGTAATGCTCCATTGTTGCCTTGGAACCATCCCCACATGAGCAATAATGACCCAATAGTTCCTTTCCAACATTTGTTAACCAAGCAAGATTGAAGTCTCTGCTCAATACTGAGCATGAGTCTGAGATTAAAAAGAATAATTTAAAAAATAAAAACAAAACAAAATAGACTTAATGGACGAAAATCAAGTTTTACCTACAAAAGATAAATGTAAAGATGACAAAACATTTAATAATCAAAATAGCTTCTTGCTTGATATTATACATGGTTATCCTTAACCTACAGAAAGAGTTAATACAAAACATGAATCATCCCCATCAGTACTGGAATGACGTGGCTTAACAGCACCATCTTCTGGACGACAGCCGCTGGTGCTCTTTAAATGAAATGATAAACGTCATGATAAACCACCTCTAACTGCTTTAGCCTTTTTTTTCCCTTCTTATTCCTCCAAAGCAAAATACCCTCTCCCCATGTGACATGAGCATTTTCATTTACAACACCTCTCACACAATTCTCTTTCCTGCTAGGATCTTCTTTAGTCATCTCAACCTTTGTGGGAAAAATAAAAACGACCACCTTAAAGTAACTGTAACATTGAAAATGTTTATTAAAGGGTACTATTGTACACAAACTTGCAACATTTCTTTCACACGAGAAATAACCTACTTTTTAAAAACTGGGCACTGGCAAAGGAGACAAAGTATCTTTAATCAGAGAAAATGACACCAAAATTCAAATCAAGTGATATCATGAAAACACATTTTATGGACTGTGTATCAAAGGAGAAAAAGATTATAGCCTCAATTCATAGAGGCTCCCAAAGATGAATACAAATTCAGTTTTCCGACAATGAACATTTGGTCCAAAGATTCCATGCTGGAGCACAACTGATCCGACTACAAAACTATCATGATCTCATGTGTAAAAACTAACCGCTTCTCAGGTCCCAGTGGATAATGTGACTAGTCCAATCGGAAAATGGTTTTGACATTTTAAATCTTCAACAAACACTATGGCCTGAAAGCACATTTTCCAGCTCAACTTCTTTTTGCGGGAAAAAGCAAAAACAAAAAAGGTTAGTGGACTCTGAAGCGGGATCAAAAGCTATGAAACGCAGACTGATGAGCAATAGCGACGGTCACGCCGGTGCACTGACTTTTGCTGCTTTTACCACAAGGTGGCAGACCCCAATGACTGCTGGCTTGATCTCATGTGGACACAGTGAAGATTGTCAAACCCATGAGAAGAATACAATCCATAAAGTAACACTGCAGTTAAAAACCAGGAAGTACAAAGCTGGGCTGAGTGGGTTTATTGTTCTTTCCATTAACAAGTGATGGTGGAAAGAAATCTAAAAACATCACATCCATGATTAAATCTGACTAAAACAAACAAGGATATCACTGCACAATGAAGACATAGCTCTCCTTTGTCCATTGTAAGAGTTCCAATTTTATTCATAATTAATAAAAAAAACAAAAAAAAACAGAAAAAGCTTTTCCTATAATCTCTCCTACAGTAATATTATGCCAATACTGAGGCCTTTGTTTGTACCTTTTGGAAAGAGATCCACCTTTTATAATGACTTTTGGAGGGGTCTTGTGCCCTCACCAATATGTGCTGACAGATTTTATATCAAATCTGACTTGCAACACTTCCATTTCTAATAGGTGGCCACCTTCGCTCGTGTTTGCAAATTCCTTTCAGATATAACAGTATCATGTAACCACTAAAACATGTGTTAAGATTAAAAAAAAAAGGTAAAGAATACAAAGACAAAAAACAGTAAAAACTTTCCCCAGTAGCATATCACTCATGTCCCCTACAGCACCTTCTCTAACTGATAGATCCTTCTCAGCAGTCTGGGTCATTGTGCTCCAAAGAGAGGTATGGATGGAGACAACACAACAACCGGGTCCGCCGTTTGTGTTTCATCGTTGGACATGGTAAAGGTGATGGATGAGAGTTTTGGGTGTGAAAAAAAAAAAAGTCTGACTCAAGGTTTTCCCTGCAGTGGAGGTTTCCTCCTGAGTTATTCACTCACGCACTCACAGCATCCTTCTCCTTCTTGTCACTGTCCTCGTGCCAGGTGAGACGCTCCTCGTAGAAGGCTATGACGATCTGTGGGCACTTATGATTGGCCTCCTTAGCGAGCACAAGGTCTGCCTCATCAGAGTCTTTCCTGAAAGACACAAGCACGAGATTTATCACATAGAGCAGTGGCTCCTACCCGTTGGGACTTTTGAAATAAAAAAAAACTGAAACAAACTACAATTATACTATGCACATCTATATCCTAATTTCAATCAGTCAGTTATCTGATATCTTTTTTGCTCTTTGGCCAAAAACAAATAAAACTTTAAAAGTCCAAGTCTTTATAGATTTTTTTAAAACCTAAATTCAACAGTGTTAACACACACCATATGTCGATGAGATAAAATGGTTACCATGTGGATTACTGTACTTTAAAGACGGACAACTAGGTGGCTGCCAGTGATGCTGATTGGAATTTCTGAGCGCCAGATAATTCCAGTGTGAAGTCTGTGGTATAACAGATTAACTACTGTGCAATATAAAATCCAAATGGCGTGCAATTCAAAACCACAGAAGCATCACGAGAGAGGAGCTTTTTATGTATGATGGAGCAAACTAAACGGTAACTTCTAAATCAGATGGAATATTACAGTTATTGACGGGGGCCCATCTGCACCACAGTGTAGCATATGTAGCAAGATTTGGAGCACATAGACAAAACCCACCATTTCATAAGAAACATCAGGTCTCCACAGGAGTCGGTTGCTCCAATGATCTTCTCTGGCTCCAGTCCTCGCTCAAACCCACGTGCAACTAGAATCTCATCCTGGGATGAAATGAATAAATAAATAAAAAATTAACAGAATGCATTTTACTGAAACTATGCAATGTACAGCCATTTTAAAGGACATTACAAAGTCATTGTTTTTAAGACGAGACAGGACAGAAATGTCTCAATTCACACAATGCAACCACTTTCTTACCAAATTCTATCATCTACATGCATTATTGCCAAGTCGGCTTAACAATGATTTCTGATTTGAAGGTTGAACGACCAAGCAATTAACAGGCTGAGCAGTCAGGACAAAACGGCATCATACCATCTGCAGAGTGAATACAGACTAGAGATGCACTCTATATTACTCTATATTTGAATGTTATTACAGTGATATATATTAGGCAATCTTTTAATGACCAAAATTACTCTTTTTACATCCTTCTGTGTTCCTAAAACATTCATATTTGAATGGAGCTGAGTACAAAAAAATAAACAACTAAAGCACTTAAACTTCATTGCACAAATAGCTGCGCTCTGCTTAGCCTGCAGACTAAAAGTTAGAGAAAAGGCAACTGGACTTATGACCTTTACTATGCCCAGGATGGCTGAGAATATAAAACCAATGTGTTGTGAGAGCATTGTCTTAGTACTTATAAAAATGCCCTCCCAGTTTTCAGGAAGGGGAAGAAGAATGTGTCAATAAAGAGGTGAGTCAGGCTGGAGCAACAATAGAATGCAACATTAGAATAACTACTCTCACTTTACATTAGCCTTTACATTTAAAAGCTAACTGACGTTTTTTATGTGTTCAAAGTAAACAAGAGATCTAACCATCAGAGACCAGCTTTGAGTCACCAGTTTGGAGCCCACAAAAAGTTAATCATACATCTGCATGATTTTTTTTTAAATATACCTTTCACAGAACAAACGCTAACAAAAACACTTACCTCCTTCTTCTTTTTGGGCTTACTTCCACCCTCCTCGTCATCATCTGAGCTTCTTTTCTTTGAGCTACTTGAGTCTTTGGAGCGTCCAGATGGAGTTGTGTTTGATTTGCTGCCCCCGCTGCTAGGTGTGGCGCTTCCACTGCTACTTTTCTTGTAGGTCTTCATGAATTCGGCGATAAGTTCGGGACAGTCCAAATTCTTCTCTGGCTCCCAAGTATTGTGCTTACTGAAAAAAAGACCACAAGTGGAAGTCAAAAAGAGGTGCAACAATTGGTCTCTTCGTATAATTTATGGTAGTGTCCAGAAACACCAAACATGGAACCAAACAAAAGCTCTCATATGTATGGTGCTGAAAACCTAAACAACTCGAATGTCTTCTTCAAGATCTCCATTAACTTTGAGGGCAAACCGATGGGGGCTTTGGGGTTCAGATACATCACTGTTTTACAGACACCCCACTACTACTTACTCTGAATATCCTTTCCACTTCAGGTAGAATTCCACCCTGCCTTTCACCACCCTTCTGTCCAGCACCTTTTCCACAACATACTCTTCCTCGTCAGAAGATGAGGACGCCTCTTCACGAGACTTTTTGCCCATAGCAAAGTTTGGTGCTTAACAACGCGCCGTCACAGGCCGATGGCACTGTCCCTGTTCAAGTGAAAACGACAGAGACCAACGTTAAAATTCGACTGCAGTTTTCGCTAACATACATATACTCACATGAACATGCATTTAACCACAAAGCGTTCACGTAGAAAGGGACACAACTTGCTAGTCAATATCCTCACCTACAAGCCAAGGTTAGCAACGTGGCTAACATATATCACGAAACAGCATCGTTTCATTGTCGCTCATCCGATCCACTAAATGCATAACACGGCAATAAATGCTCAAATTAAAGGCCCAATCAAACATGTGTCGACATGTGTCCAATCGAAGTATTTCATCTGAGTCAAAACGTATCAACAGAGAGCGCATGCAGTGCACATAGCAATGAAGATTCGTTGTTGTGCTGTGCTAACTAATAGCCAAAAAGCTAACGCTTGATCAGACTCTTCATTCTAACATTAAACTATCACTCCATACCTGCAGCCTCGTAGATTAAAAAGACTTGCTTACCCTTTGGATTAATAGACCGCCGGTTTTGAGGCGTTGAAGGCAGCAATACCTCCGGTCTATTGTGGATTAGCAGTCTGTGAAGCCAACGCTGAAGCTACCTTAGCATCTAGCCGGAATCACATAAAGGTGATGTGCGCAAAAAGCGCGCGTTAAACGCGCACAATGAACATACCCGCCCCCCCAACCAGTCAGCTGATAACCCACATATGTAAGGATGGGAAGCATCCTTGATTCTTGATGATTTTAACCTAATTCTTTAATTTTTGCAATATATTTGGTGGAATTCAAGCGAATTATACGTGTCTAGGAAGCACCTTAATCGCTGATTAACTATTAAATGACGTCGTGCATATGATACGTTCAAGGCCTCATAATAAAAGGACCAAACCAACCCCCCACTACAAGAAAAACCAAACAACAATGGATGGTTATTTGTTTTGTATCTTGCATCATTTAAGCATAGGGAGGGATTTGTCTGTACGCATAAACACCAAGAATCTCTCAATGTTAATTCACATTTTTTGTTTGACATTTCTGTCTTTAGGGTCTCAATGTAGAATTTCTTCAGATATCAAATAAAAATGTATTTCTTTTGCTATTATTTATATTTCTGTGGTTTTTATTTATTTTAAACTCCGTATGTTATTTAGGTGGTAATTACATTCCTTTACATCTGTTCGATTCAATTTCTGGGATGACACCAATGAATATCGATAGACTTTTTGGACAATTTACCAATGCCAGTATCGTCCTGCTGATAGAATTTTTGTCATGGACTTTAAATTAATAACATTTTCTTTGTTTGTTTGATTATTTTTTCATTTAAGGACATTTTGAGTTAGTCAATCAATTTGCTCCACCCATAAGGTAAAGTCCTGAATGATCTTGGAATATCATAGATTTACTTTGTTTTCTGTGCTCTCCATTGAGTAGATACATGGCATTTACTGATAACCATGTCCACTTTAAATTCTATAATCCGATGGAACCATGTTCTAACCATAAATCATGGAAAATTACTTTCACCACAGATATAGTTTAATCGTTGACGATTTTCGTTTTCTTGAACATTATTGGATATTCGTTGTGATTGATAGAATAATGTCCAATCATGAGGGAATTTCTGCTGACGACAGACGCCAGCGGGAACTGCTGACCAATTGGCGTACGATAAAGGCGTATCCTTCTCTATTTATAATACTGTTGAACGGCATCCCAGCCCCGTCTGACGCAGATCGGTGCTCTTAGCTAATCATATAAGGTTTCCATAAGGATTCATCTGCAAGATGTCGAAAGATGTAAGTATCCTAAAGATAATTCCGTTGACTTAACGTTGGTCGTTAAATGTGTTAAAAAAATGTGAAATTGTCCGCTGCAGTCGATGTTCAACGCAGAGTGCGTTATTGTTGCATCTGCATTAGCCGTCCTGCATTGTAGAGCCGCCATTTTATAGCAAACGGGCCTCGTGTCTCTTTGTTTAAGCGGTCAGCTGTAGACGAGACGCATTTTCACTCAACACTCACCGGTATTAATCAACATATATAAATTGTAATTGCATGTAGAATGAATCTCAAGGGGCGTAAGGGAAGCTACTAATGGTTGTTTTTAGACATCATCTGACTCGACAGCGGGCGTTAATGGCGGACCACGTCTCCCTCCTCCACCCTCCACTGATTTTTGATGTGCGGTGCAGAATGGGTTTTGGGATCTATTGTTGTTTGCGTGAAGCTGGCATTATTTTAGCTTCATTAGGAGACATGCATTTTGTGTTTATATCTCGTTTTCGCTCGTCTCAAATGGTTGTATTTCTTCTATTGTGCAGGTCCCACGTGAACCCGAGCAGCTTCGCAAACTGTTCATTGGAGGCCTGAGCTTCGAGACAACAGACGAAAGCTTGCGGGCTCATTTTGAGCAATGGGGGAGTCTTACAGATTGCGTGGTATGTATATTTATTTATTGTAACTTTAAAAGTGATAAATAATAAAACAACGTGATCGACAGATGTATGTAGTCCTTGTGGAAACGTGACAATTTAACCCTCCACTTGTAATGCCAGGTGATGCGGGATCCCAACAGCAAGCGATCCAGGGGCTTTGGCTTTGTAACATATTCATCAGTTCAGGAGGTTGATGCTGCCATGTCTGCCCGCCCGCATAAGGTGGATGGGAGAGTGGTTGAACCTAAACGTGCAGTTTCAAGAGAGGTATGTCAACCTGTATGGTTTCCACTGCCACGTTTTATTTTCTTTTTACTATTTGTTCAAAGTTTGTATTCTCAATATGTATTTTTTGTATCTTAGGACTCCAACCGCCCTGGCGCTCATATAACTGTGAAAAAGATCTTTGTTGGGGGCATCAAAGAGGATACAGAAGAGTCTCATCTTAGGGATTATTTTGGACAGTTTGGAAAAATTGAGGTTATTGATATCATGACTGATCGCAATTCTGGGAAAAAGAGGGGTTTTGCCTTCGTTACCTTTGATGACCACGACTCAGTTGACAGGATTGTCAGTAAGTACAGAAAGCGCCCCCCCCCAAACTGGCAGAGTTCCGGGTTCCTGTTTTAAAAATAATTTTTTCTCCGATTTATCTTCAAAGTCCAGAAATACCACACAATCAACTCGCACAACTGTGAGGTGAGGAAGGCCCTCACCAAACAGGAAATGCAGAGTGCAGGAATGGGAATGAGAGGAGGACGAAGCAGCGGGGGAAGACCATACGAGTACGACAGAGGTTTCAGTCAAGGTATATCTTTATCTGGCAACTGTAAAAATTCATTATTTTTTATTTTAAATTAACAAAATAATATTAACAAATGTATAGACTTCTCTTCCCATTCAGGTGGCCGGGGCAGATACGGAGATGGTCCTTACAATTGCAACGGGGGTGACGGTGGTAAGTTTACATAAGGCTCTGGTTGGAGAACGTTTCCTTAGAAAGTTGCTGATGTCCTCACGACTTGTTTCTTGTCATTTGATTTAGGCTATGGAGGAGGCCCAGGTGGTCCTGGTGGATATAACAACGGTGGAAACCGTGGTTATAACCAGGGTTACAACCAGGGTGGTGGTGGTGGTGGAGGTTATGGAGGAAATGGTTATGACAGCAACGGTTATGGTAAGAATATTTGCGAGCGTGTTCGAAATGCTTAACTCAAAGTACCTGTTATCTGACAAGACTATCTCATTTTAGGCAATTGTGGTGGTGGTGGTGGTGGCGGTGGCAATAACTACAACAACATGGGCCACTATGACCCCCAGGCTTCTAACTTTGGCCCAATGAAGAACAACTTTGGTGGTGGAGGTGGTGGTGGAGGTGGCAGGAACTTTGGTAAGTATTACTCAGGATGGAATGTATGCATGTTTTGTTTTTTTCTTTCTTTCTTCATGCTGACTTTACGTCTCATAAAACGTTTGAACTTTGCTTCCAGGTGGATATGGAGGTGGATCAAACAATCCTGGTGGCTATGGCCGTCCAGGACGATTTTGAGACTTGAAGTGGTAAGTATCCACAGGCATGCCTGAGCTTTTATATTTGGTGATTTTAAACACCAGAGTTTCATTGCAAGGAATCATTAAGTGCAGATAATTCACTCTGGATGTCAGGTCATACAAAGTCAGTGCACAGTTAACAATGTTGTTCCATATTGTTCAACAGGACTGAGTACTTAGGAGAGGAGAGCAAGGAGAGGAGAGCAAGCGAAGTGACAGGGCAGCTGCAGGTTTACCTCCTAAATCTGCTCAGCCAAACAGTTGTGGCAGGTTACAGCTGCTACAAGAAGAGATGTACAGTAGATAAATCATGGAGGGCCTTCATTTAAACTTTCTTCTGTTTTTTCTTTCATCAAATGTGTTTTTGGAAAGCAAGCATTCCAATGAGGGTTTTATGTTTATCTTTTTAAGTCTGGTTTTTATTTGTAACTGCATCAAATCAATCTGAAATAAACCACCTTTCAGTTTTTTTTAAAAACAAGTCTTAGCGTCTTTAGTGGTTTGGGTAAGGGAGGGTTCACTTATAGGTTCTTTTGCAAAACTGGGATGAGGGCCTTTTAAAAAAGAAAAAAAGAAGAGTCTGGAAAAGCCCATCTCCCAGTGTCATCAGAACTTAACCAGTAAGAAGTGGCACACGTGCTGTCCTCATAAAGAGCCCGACACTTGGTACAGACTCTACCCTGATTTCTGCAAAGATCATCTGGAGGATGCTAGCTTACATGCAAAGTCTTTGAGGCTAGCCATGGAAGCTGAGGGAGAGAAGTAGCAAAACCGTCGCCAGGATCATTGAAGCAGGGGAGAGTGAGAAAAGAGGCCTGAGGCTAGCAGGCAGCAGCTACCAAAAGGCTTAAGTGCTGTCCGTAGGTAAGACCAGACTTCTCAACTACTGATGGTATATCTTGATATTTACCTTGTAGCTGGTAGTGAGTTGTGTAGCCCAGTAATGACAATAACAAAGTTATGACTTGCACCAATGTTGATGGTGTAATTGTGCTTGGAGGTCCGTCGTATGCTGCATGCAGTGAACACAAATTAACATGGCTGAGGTGTATTTTTCTACCCTCATGTTATGCGTCTGCTTTTCAGATCGTGGTCCAGGTCGTCTCCAAACTGACTTCATTTCTATGACAATGGCTGTCAGGTATAAACCAAAATCTTTCCTCACATTGTTCATGAAACCTGGATTGTAACTTTTTTTTCTCTTTTTTTTTTTTTCCCCACAGGTTAGCTGATGTTGGAGGGTGTTTTAAATTGAGTACTGCAGTGCAGTTTATTTTAAAACTTTTTTTAATAAAGCATTTTATATTAAAAACAGTGGTCTGAATTGGTTGAACGAGCATGAAGTGTTCTTTTCTACATGTTTGGCAAATTTTCATGGGTTAAGTCATAACCAAATAAATCAGGAGGTGGATTTGAAACGCTTTGGCACAAAGACAGTACACTTGAGGGCAGTAGCTGACCCACAGTTTTCTAGAACTGAACTCTCTTTTCCATTGTATGAGGTACCAAAAAGATTTTACCATCAGGGGTTTGTTGCAGAGAGTAATCATCAATCGAATAAGGCTGTCCATTTTCATCTCGTAAGTGGGAAAATACTTCAGTGTAAAGGTCTGAGAGTCTGCATTTAGCAAAGGCCAAGCTGCGCTGGAACTCCAGCCGCTCCTGTGCCAGGCGTTCCCTCTGAGTTTGAAGCTGGTTCAGATCTCTTTCCAGGTGAATTATGCTCTCCAGCTTCCTCTTCCTGCAGTTTTGAGCTGCCACTTTGTTCTTCCCCCGTCGTCTGATGTCTCTGACCAATGCAAGTTGAGTGTCTGTCAGAGTGTGTTGCGTGAGGAGCTCGTTGAAGTCGTCCACAGGTAGATTGATGATCTTCTCCATGGGGAAGGGAATCTTCAAAGCCATGGCCCGTCGCTCATCCCTGCTCAGAGAGGCGGGGCTGGAACTTCCTCCTTGTTTTGAATACATGAGATGCTGTGAGCTCCCTCTGCTGGTCATTGCGACGTTGAAGAGATCAGCCGCCCCTTGCTGCTTTACTGACCGAGGCGTCAATGCACAAGGCTGTGACTGAGGTGAAAAATAGGGTGAACGTATACCTGAGCGTAAATACGATTGAGCCTGACTCTGGTAGTCCATGGAGTAATGGATGTGCTCTGTATGCTCAGGCAGACTGTCTGGTTCACCATCACTGTACGCCATGCCAATGTCTACATTCTGATAACCTGGAGCGCCGCCAACATGATTGTCTGGGGATGCCAAAGGTGGACTGGATCCCAAAGACAGTCCAGAGTCTGATTCTAGATCATCAGTTGTGTGAGCCTGCATACCTTGGCCAAGTGTAGTCCAGAGCATATGGCGACTTAAGCCCTGAGAGAGACAAGAATTCGCCCTCCTGTGCACTGAACCCGCACCCGGCATGGTCATGAGAGACGGCTGCGTGTGAGAAGAGGCAGGAAGTATTCTTTGACCCAGCTGAGAGTCGGCGGTTCCGTACATGGCCTCGGTGTTGCCGAGGCGCTGGCAGGCGGGTACCTCCTCCGAGTAGCATCGCTCATAAGCCTCAGCATTGCTCAGCTCACAAGAAGCATGAAGAGGTTCAGTGTGGGGCTGAGTCATGACATACTCTCCCGAAGGGGCCATGGGTTGCATGCTTTGGTACTGTGTTGATTCATAGGAGCCTTCGCTTGGTACTTGAAACTCCTGTAACAAAAAACACAAAGCTTTGAGGGTCAGGCAGAATGTGTGTGTCCCACTAGCTGCAGTAAAAGGAATAAAAGCAATGAATAGGTCACTCAGAACGTAGACATAATTTGTTGAACATTGTATTTTTTTTTCACAAGTCATCTGGTTCGTTATTGAGCAAAGCTTGCCCCCACTTTATCTTGCCACACATAACCCATGAAGGACTCTCAAAGATGTGATCAGATTTCACTGTGAAACAGATGGCTATTGTGCAGCGCAGGGGGCCAGTAGCAGCATCCAGTGTGTGCCCCCTCACAAACCCTCATCCAACCATCACTCAAACAGACCGTTGTGGCTTATGTTATTTGAGCGGCTATTTGCTCTACAGCATTCAGGTTTAGATATGTTTCAGTAAAATTAAACTTGTTCCACCTTTTTAGATTTAAAATGCAGGATATGCAAATGCAGGATATATGTCTCTGTAGATTTGAGATGTTCCTGTAAGGTTTTTTTTATAGTAAAAATACAATTTCTACATTACCAATAACTCCGGCTAATTTTCAACATCAATCATTGTGTGACCACGACAACATGAAAACTTGAACATGCTGAACTAAAAGACTGAAGCCTCAAGATAGATAAAATGCAAGATCACTGGCAGATTAAATGCCTAAACATTAGGAGTATCTGTTTTACATTATACATTTTTTCTATAAGACATGCTGCTGTTACATGTTTCATTTTCTGGAAATGACATGATCACACCGTATCGGCAGAAAGTAGAACAGTAAATACTGCTTTCGAAAAAACACAAATGAGTTTTGTTTTTAAAAAAACAGCAGCAACGAAAAAGCCAAAAGTAGTCTAATGTAAGTGGTATTTGGACATTTTTTTTGTAGCTACTTTTTAAAAACAAAATCCCATATGCTATTCATAGGAGAAACGGATTATTCATACCATCTCCGTGCTATGTTTTCTGTACCACAGGCAGCCTCATAACATCAAAGCTTAAAATTTCCATCCGATTTCTAATTTACGGGTACTGTCATCTAATGCAGATCTATCTTTAGTGGTTGTGGCCATTATTATGTAATCTGACGGCATTTGTTGGTGTTGTATCAATCTTTCCCAGAAGTTGCTTTGCAAACGTTAATGACAATGGAAACAAAAGTTGCTTTCTGTCAGATGTCTATTTAAGATCATCTTATTCTGGACAGTGAACTTGGGCTTGTCTGTCTAGAAAGGAGACAAGTACTAATTTCTAAAACTTGATATCGTCTACATTTCACTAAAACTACAAATGGAAACATTTTCACCTTTATAATACTTATAATACTATAATAATTCATTATACTTCACATTGGTTTTGACAATTTATTGGCAACATTGTGTCCATTAAGAATACTTACTAATCTTTATTTGCCGTTCTAACAACAAAAATATTTTAAAAGATTGATAACAAATTATATGTATGAATGCAAGTTATACTCTAGCTTTTCTCAACAAATGGAAATTACAAGCTGGACACATTGTGGTAACTTTCCTGGTCCATGCACCGCTGAACCCGATACTTTGCTCTTTATCGATTTCAAACAAATTGTTTAGCTTTATCAAAAATATGATTCTCTTTAGGCTTAGTAGAACCTTCAATTGTGCCATCAGAGGATATACTTTCATATCATTTGCATTTAGAATAATGAAATACCACCAAGAATTATTTTTTACAGTTTACGCCTCTTATTGTTGTTGGTGCCACAGTTACCTGCAACTCTGTGATGGCCATCAACTCCTGCCAAGCCATGTCCATGTCTGCGTCCTGCGGAGTTCCATGAGGCCTAACTCCATGGAAATTAGATGGCATGGACACCCCTCCGCATAGTCTTCCAGGGGGAGCCACTATCTTGTATGGGAGAAACAAACCATTTTATACATTAAAAAGGAACAAAAAGCCTGTCAAAGCACAACTTTAGGTTTAATTTTGTGCAAGTGTGTTTGTTTTCCCACCTCATCAATGGACCTACCTCACAGGTTCTCCTCAGGGGGAGAACATAGTTGGCCGTTGAACACATTCAGGACAGGATTATGCTGCAAAAAATAAACCTGGGGGACGGAAAAGGACTTGTTACTATAACCTGCCCAGTAAACTGACACACAGCAGAAAGAAGATGCACAATACCTTGTGTTTGGGCTCACTGCTAAGTCACAGCATGCCTTGTCACACACATACACACATCCCTTGCAAATTACATATCTGTGAACCTGGCGGTGCAAAATAAGTGACTGTTTGGGTGTTGCGAAGGTTCTTTTGGAACACATAAAAGGTTCAGTTTAGTTGACTTGACTCCTCCCATCAGCTGTTCCAGGGTGCAACTATGCCAAACCCTGATAAGACAATCTGCGGGAAAACAGCAAGCCTAAAGACAGACTGAGGACTGATGCCTGTTTTGGGAAATTTTCTGGCTGAATACAACATTAAAACGCTATCAAGCTGCTCTACTTTTTACTGCTACTACATTTTTCAGCAGATGTGATACAATTCACTAATAATTCACAAATGATGGTGCTGATTTAAAGCCGCAGTCAGTTTAAATAATTTTATTCCTTTGAACTAAAAGTAATAACAGCAAATCAGACTACATTTTCACCTTTACACACATTTGTTTGTATCAGCTAAAAAACAGAACTAGTACAAAACTCCACACCTATTCTTAAACACATTCACAGGTAACTTTACACCGTTTTTGGGCGGTTGTTATTGTATACGACAACATCTTGAAAGGAGATCCCTGGAGCGGTTTGATGCCTCTGAACATTAGTGTTCTGCTTATCCCAGATAATTTTCAAGCAGTTGGTGCGGCTGACAAATAATCCCATTAATGTCTGTCTGCTATTCATTTTATATTTGTATTCATTTTTTATGTAAATGATCTGTAAATTACAAGAAATGTAAATTGTGGGTTTTCTGAAATCTCTGGAATACCTATTTGTTGTACTCACTGTGAATACATAAAGGGAAATGTTGTTTTATTTAATGTATTTTTCACATAAGTAAAATGTGTTAGTATAAGTTTCATCGGCAAAGAAAGAAGTTATCTTAACAGCTTGTGGTCCAGTGTTTTTATGAGGGATTCTGCATGCATTTATTTAAGACAAAGCCCAATAAATATAAAAATGAACATACCTGAGTAACAGTTTTTGCATCTTCAACAAATGATGAGTAAAAGAAAAAAAAACTAATGATGTGATGTACAGTCCTGGATTAAAAAATCTTCTCAGTACTGTTTTAACAGAGGCCTCTGGCCCTTTCTCCTATTCAGCTGTGTCTCCCTCTGTTAAACTACACATGCAGCCACCGGCATAAATGGGATGGCTCTGCGCAGACAAACGCAATCTTCCTGTAAGGCACCCACACTTTTTTTTCCCTTTGCACTCTTGTATCCTTAATAGCACACTTGCACCCCGACCTCCAAATTTCCCTTTTGCCCACATGACAAACCACTAACCGACAGTCTGGCAAACACCCTGGCAATCATTGTGTCACTCCACAGTAAAGTAGGTAGATGTTTACAAATCTCCCAAAAACTGTAAGCAATTTTGATTCTAATTTTGTAATGACAATAAATATAACGTCACCATTTAAAACAAAAACAAGAAATCTTCGAAAATTAGCCAAATGGGTGTCTGTCTCCCACCCAAAAAAACCTACAAAAACAATGTCCTTTTAAATCCTCCCAAACGAAAGGTATGAGGACTGTGATGTGGAGCACCTGGAGTCAGAGCCAGTGTTGCAGTGAGGGCTGTGCTCACACAGGGGTGGCTTGGAGGCAGGATTGAGACTTGGAGCAGCAGAGATGGAATGCACACTCTCCAACAGGTAAGAAAGAGTACATTGTTCCACTATCTGGCAGAGCAACTGCCAAGCGAGAGAGAGGAGCAGGGGGAGAATGGAGGGGAGCGTGTCTTACATAGCAAGTGAACATTAAAATCCCTCACAAAAAAATCCCCTCATTGCATGATGTGGAACACAGTGAACTCACAAAGGCCGTGTGTTTAGTTACGCTGTTTGTTTTTTTTGTCCAATAAAAATGACTTTTGAAAAACATAACCATTGATGACGAGGCTGATATTTATTGGTATTTAAATAAACAGATATTCATTGTAGTAGACAGCAAAAGATAACAGCAGGAGTTTGTCTCATGATGACTGTGGGGATTTCTTAAAGTAATTAGGATCCCATGAAATATTCAACACCTTCATTCTCTGTAAGATACCCCCTACTGTGTATATAATGTTAAACATAGCGAATAGGTTTAACATTTTAAAGCAACTGATGATAACTCAGATGGCTGACATTAAAATATGCATTGGTAATTTAGAGTTTGCGGTTGTGACCTTTGCTAAGACTTTCATCAAATTAGATTGATTTCATTGTAAAATAAACGTAGGCGAATGCAGGTTTTGTTTAAAATTTGTACACACAAGAGAGAGCATTAAACAGTCATCTTGTGCAACATATTCAAAGCATATTCAAGCGGACAGAGAACGACACTACATTTCTGTGAATTGCAAAGGAGAAAACAGATGTCTCAATCAATCGCTTTCCGTTGTATTTCAGTGTGATTTCAGTCCAGATGAATACATAATTGGATTGTTGAAATGCATAAAAAACACACTTTATATCAGATACTTGATACTTGAATATCAAGTATCTAAAATTACTATCTAAAATAATAAAGAGGTCATTTTTCAATATGGTAATAAAAAGCTTGATCTTTGTTCACCTTATTTTGACTGTTCTAACAACTGCAAAATTGACCATTTGTGACATTTGGAAAATAAGTTAAAGCATCTAACTAACAAACACGACTCTTGAAAGAAACCCTGCATTCATGGTACGTGGACTAATAAAACAGTCCCTCACACTTGCATTTCGAGTTCAAATTATAAAAAAGGAACACAAATGACAGTTTGAGTTACACATTATTTGTACAGAACACTAACCAAATTTAAAAGCTGCGATTAATACTTTCAGAAAGAGACAGTCGTCAAAACCACCGGAACATTACAAAATGGGATCTTCCTAAGAAATAAATCAGTGTTTCTTCAGTCATTGTTTTCACATGGTAAAAGTAGGTGGCTGACAAAGTCAAGAAAGGTGAATGTCTACCAGGAATCAAAGAAGGGACTTCCCAACCCGAGTTCCTAGCACCCAGCCCCTGACTCAACCACTGCCACAGCGTGCCAAAGAGAACCCTGTTATTACTGGGACCGCAGTGGTTTTAAATCTGGACACAGTTCCCAGGTCAACGCCCACACTCCTAGTTTCTGTTTGTTTGCTTCAATTAGTCTTTGACATCTTTGCTTTCCAGCCTGCTTAAACCTCTCAGGCCTGTCACTGTTTACTTCTGGTGAACTTCAGTGCTACAAACAGCTTCACTTAAAAAACGGAGCCGACACACTGGCTGGAATCCGCCTACGGTTGACTCACTTTGGCTAAAATTCTCTTCATGACCCCTAACCTGAAACCACTAGTTAAACATGATTGTTTTCTCCCTGTTCTCTGCCTCGTTTGTGTGCGATGGGACAAGGGATTTAATTTGTCCATTGAAGATGGGGAAACAGTTTTTCTTCCAAGATCCAGGAGGATTTAGATATGAGTGGAACAAATACTTTACAACCAAATGAAATGGGTTGTGGTATCAAATCGGGAATACTTTCAGGGTCAGCTCCTGGCAAAGGAAACATTTCTCTTTTTGATTATAACTAGAAGTAATCTGGATTTGAAGCAGAAGAAATAAATAATATTTTATTTATTTCTCCCTGCTAACGTCTGCAATGTAACAAAAGCCAAACAGTGAATAAATAGGGCATAAAATTGAGTAATCTATATACTTAAAAATAAATTGTAGACTAATTTATTTTGAGTACAGACCTCCAGCAACTCTAAAATTACAAAGAAATAGCAACATTATTGCCTGACAAATGAGTTTTCGGGTTGTGAACTTTACCAGGCTAAGCATAACACATCTTACTGTACACTTTTGAAAAATATTTTAGCCTAAAATCATTGATCATACCATAACGGTGTCGTTTTATGTTTATACTTCAAGCATGCAAGTGAGCACCTACTTACTTCTTGGGAATAGATTAAATTCTGGCAGACATTCTTCTGCCTAAGCAGAGACCTCTTCAGAAGAGATTTCATGCATAAAAGAGATTCAGAAATAAAATATTATTCTACCTTGCAGTATCTGAACAAGGCAAAAATGAGGAACCTGAATCTGCAGCATCATTCTTATGAATGTCTCAATACGGTCTGTGGTTATCTCAAGATGTCCAAATTATGATAACATTTTGCAAGAAGAACACTCCATTTCTGTGTTTTTGTCTTTCTGATAGATTTCACCCCTCCACCGCTTCCCCAACACCTTCCACTACCACTACCCCTTCCTTTTACAACGTACACATTTACATATTAGAGATGTCGTGTGAAAATAGTTTTAAAGCACTCTAAACTGCACTTAAAACACTGTAGGTGCTCTTTTTAGTTCTGTTTGTGACGTATTAATGTTATCATCTAGGTGTGTATATACATGTGATTAGGCCAATGTGTTCATGGAACTGCATGTGGAGGCTGGTTGGTAATAGACACAAAGAGTTAAGGCAGGGAAAGGAGGATGTAGCTTAGCGGAAGCTCTGCTTTATGCTGATAAAGAGAGCACTTGGTTCTGAGGAAGGGAACTGCTAACTGCTGTGGTTGCTGGTTTAAGACGGGGAAAGGGGTGCTGTCCATGCTTCAAACTACTTTACCACTAACTTTATAAGTTGCTGATATAATTAGTTGAATCCTTGTAACAAAAGCATTCAAATTTGAGGAACTATTGGCTGAATGTGAGCCATTAAAGTATATTATAGGCTTTTTCAACAGTTGAATTACAAAATCCTTTTGACACCATCAAAAAAGGTGAATTTAAGTTTCATTCACAGAATTTGAGCACATTTTGAACATTGACAACCTATTCAACATAAATCATCATCAGCTGTTTCTATTTTTAACTAGTGTCATAATTCATCATTCAGATTCACTCCATCATATCACGGTGTTGCTTCTCCATCAAATATAATTCAAAATTGAAGTTGGGCTTTTTGCATGACAGTGACATTTGATAATCCTTTAGCCTTTAAATATGATAGAATTCATGGCTCCACGCTGTTTTTTCTGTAGTCTGAGCAATTTTGAAATCTTAGTGGCCGAATTGTGTAAACTGAGTGTAGTATTGCAAAATGTTATGGTTTCCTGGAATCTTGTTTGAGTGTGCGCCACGTAAGTTTGTATCTCTTCACCACACATGTCGTGCAGATGAATAATAACTCCATACATTTTCTTTCCAGTATTATTTGAAATTCAAAATCCCAACATACCTTACAGTAAGACCAGAAAATGAGGTCATTTATGGACAGATAGAGGGAAATCCCCATCACCCTGGGTTTCCAAACGTTTCCCAGAAGTGGGAACTAAGATAATTGGAGTTGGTTAAATGTAGGAGGATCCTGAAAAAAGACGGGGATGAGTATGAACAAACTAAAAAGACTTCAAATGAAGGATTTCTGGTTAGCTTGCAGTCCTACAAATAACAACAACCACTAAAAAGTGTCTGAACATCATGTTATCTTATGTTTAACTATCTTTATCAATTGAGGATGTTTGAATTTTCAAATATACCCTCTGCTCTGCGAATGCCGACCCCATCAAAGGATAGTCATATTCTGTTTGTCAGGGCAAACAACAGGCGTACAAAAAAGGAAATGGGATGAACTATTTATGGTTTCGAGTAAAAGAAACCATCCGTAATTTACAGAAATGACCAAATCTTTGGGAATGTTCTAATTCAGAAGAAAAGTTACTGTCTTCACCACAAACTGGGAAATGTTACATATGCTATACATTTTTAATGTCTTTCATGTCACTTTTCATGTCATAATTGTTCATGCCTTGCAGTGAACTGATCTTTGACATACACGCAGAGCGTAAGGAAACACGTCAGCCAATTAGAAAGAGCCTCATTGATCTTACGTTGTACGTCATGTTAGCCGGGTTGTAGGTTCGCTAACAAGAGAGAAGATGGATTCTCCCATACTGGTAATACCAGCGACTCTTTTTACTTGTTACAGTACAGTGTCATTAGAACTTATAGTTGGTTCATGCAATAAGGAATTGAGGATTGTGTCCCTCCAATGGTGGTGAAATATGAATGTTTAGCTTACTGCCAAGTTAGCGTGACCGGGGCTAACTAAAGTAAGTGTTAGCTTAGCAGTTAGCATACAGTCAACCTCGCATACGCGATTGGTGATGATGTGGAAGTGTCCTGTCTTCTTTACGAGCTGATTAATAATACGTTCTAAAGTTAAAACATAGTTTTATTAGAATTTACGACTGTGGTTTAATTAGATTAGTCTTAATACGTTGTGCGGGCCCATATCGCCTCGTTGTAGTTTGTTTTGATTAGCTCAGTTGTCTTCTGACATATTAATGTATGCCAATGCTAAGTTTTGCTGTCTTGACAGGAACCGTCCTTGTACACCGTGAAAGCGGTACTGATTCTGGATAACGATGGAGACAGGCTTTATGCCAAGGTAAGATTTGTTTGGTACAGTTGAAAACAGGTTAAAAGTTTTTATTTTCCCCAGATAAAGGAAACATTAGTCGTGTATTATTTTTTTTATGTAAGAACGTAGTGTGATAAATAAAACACTGTGTGACATTGCCCACTTTTATATTGGATCTGTGCTCAGTGACTGTGCTTAACAACACACCTACAGATTTTAGGACAGCTTATACAAAAACAAAACCCAAACAAAAAATGAAATAACCAAAAAACTAAATTGGGTAACCAATTCCAAATATAGAGTATAAAGCGATTTTTTTTCTTTTTTTTCTGGAAATGTCCTCAAAACCAGCATTTTGTATTATTGCAAATTGCTGGATAACTGGGTGTTTCTGACTATTCACACTCAGACCTAAAGATGGAACCAGTAAAACTTTACACAGCCAACATTATGTAGTTCAAGCCATGTATTTATTTAGAATTGTCACATTTGATTAATAAAAATATAGACCTATAAAGAATGGATTTTTGTTATATAATGCATTCTTCCGCTACGGGATTAATGAAACTTCTCCCGGCGACCCCATTAGGGAATAAGCGGTAACGATAATGGATGGATGGATGGATTAATGAAACTTTTAAGTAATTAGCAAATGTAACTGAAATAGAAATGATGCATGGAGTATCATATTTGACAGTTGTTTAGGTAAACATTTGAACCACTTAATTAAACTCTTCATAATGAGTTTAGAAGAATCTTGCATCCATAGCATCTAATTCCAATTCTTTTTAGCCACAGTGTGGACTATAAATTAAGATTTCAGACGATCGTCTCTTATCTTTGCCTCTTTCTTCAGTATTACGACGACACTTACCCGACTGTGAAAGAGCAGAAGGCATTTGAGAAGAACATATTCAACAAAACACACAGGACAGACAGTGAGTTTTGCTTTGTAAAATAAAGACAATTCAGTTGCCTTTAAGATGGTCTAAAAACAAGACAGAAATTCTTAATTTTGTGTTTTATTATTGTCTTTCCTCACTTTGTCAATTTAGGTGAGATCGCATTGCTGGAGGGCCTCACTGTTGTGTACAAGAGCAATATAGACCTCTTCTTCTATGTCATCGGAAGCTCACATGAAAATGAGGTCAGCAGTTACTTTTAGGATTTTGCATTGAAGCTTGATGCCATCTGGGTCTAAAGTCAAGTATTGGATGATTTGCTAAATAAAATACAAACATTTCTTACTTTGAATATAAACATTTATTTACAGGTATTACAACTGCGATGTGCTCATTAGTCATGTTTGCATTAGTTGTGTCTAATATGTTTTATTTCCAACAGCTCATGCTTATGGCTGTCCTCAATTGCCTCTTTGATTCTCTAAGTCAGATGTTGAGGTATGCTTTACACGATAACACAACTGCAGTCATGAGAGAAAATGTGGGGTTTGAAAATGTGAGACTGAGGAGTGCTTTTTCTGAACGCTGCAGAAAAAATGTTGAGAGGAGGGCTTTGTTGGAGAATATGGAGGGGCTCTTCTTGGCTGTGGATGAAATTGTAGATGGAGGGTAAGTATAGATTTGTCACGATAAAAATCTCGAGTACTGAGTTAGTCTTTTGATTGAAAGCAAAAGCAGAGTCCTCCAGAAGCCCTTTCCCTTCAGTGTACTAATTGAGACTTTTTGTGCTGCCTGCAGGGTGATTTTAGAGAGCGACCCGCAGCAAGTCGTGCATCGTGTGGCCCTCAGAGTAAGCTCCTCGTGTCTTCTCTCTTTTCCAAACTATTCAGCAAAATGTACTGTAAGTAATGTGAGCTGTAAATACAACCTATTTGCTCTTGCAGGGTGATGATGTACCTCTGACAGAGCAGACAGTCACCCAGGTGAGAAAAGCTTACTTACATTGATCCTCCATCTACTATAAAGTTTCAAAGACCCATTAGTTTATTGACTGTTAAGTCCTTACTTCAGAGTCTGAGAATAGAAGGGCATTGTTATTGCGTCATCTTCCTCTTATACTTTGTCACTCGCATCTAAGCTGTCATATTTGGCATTGTCTTATAAGCGCGGCAGTGTGTGTGATTACTAATTATTCAGTACTAAGGTGGTAGGTAGCCAGTGGCTCCGGTTTGTGTGTGTGCTCATCTGTGTGTGTTGGAGCTCCCCTTGATTAATGTTGTCATTTAAGAGGTCTGAGACTGGCTACCGCCATTCCTCCTCTGGCCATGATTAATGGCTGTGCTCAGTCCTCATGCTTTATGGTTATGATGCAGCTTTCATTCAATGAATTAAGATGATTAATTAGACTATAGATATTTCTCACAGTTTTTATCACTTGGTCAGCATTTTGTCGTATTTTTACTTTTTTTGGCCTTTGTTGCATTTGGCCTTCAAGTTTAGTTCTGTTTTAGCACTTATTCCCATAAGGGTTTATTCACTGTCCACTACAGTTGAGCATTTGTTGCACAGATCTGCCTGAACAAAACAGTTTTTCTTGCACAGGTTCTTCAGTCTGCCAAAGAACAGATCAAGTGGTCACTTCTTCGATAGTCACGCCTTCGCCGACCTACCAGGGATCTGCTGTTCAGCTCAGACCACATAGCACTGATCATTTTACTCCCTTTCCTCCAACTTTTTTAATCCAAACTGCGAGGAGTACACAGGACTGATGCAGTCACACCGAGGACTTCTGCTTCACAAAGTTTTAATTTACTATGATTTTCTCCTTCCTGTCTTGTATTGTATGATCAAAATGAGAATAAGATATGATGCACATTCCAGCAGTGGATTTTGTTCTGGTTATTTCCTTTTTTCAGTGAAGACACACGGCTTTTTTTTCCTCCAGTATTTGTGTACAGATGTGAGACACTATTTAACATCATACAGTCTGTAAGAACATTCCATGTGTTTCCAGTGACGAGAAAAATGCTGTATTTGGAACAGTATTGTTTCATCTTTTCCAGATTATTGAAACAATAAAGCTTCTTTAAGTTGACATTACATTGTTATGTATGTAGTATGGAGTATTAATTCTCTAGTCATCAACTGTTTCAAGAATAATTTCTTTTGTGGATTTTTAATTGGACCATGTACATTCCTCAGTATCAATGGCTAGGAAACCAACTTATTAACAGAATTGTTATCTGATTCTGTGAGAGAAAATGCTCAAGATATTCTGTTAACTCTCACTGGGAAGTTTACACGCCTTTCTGGATTTCATCTAACAGACGACTCTAAGTTAGCAGCAGGGATGTTTTTGTTCAAGCTCAGACTCAAGTGTAAGTGCTCCATCTCCTGGTCACCACAGAAAACTGCAAAACAGTTCAAACCCGACTTCCCATCTAAAGATCTATAGCTTACATCAGGGGTGTCAGACTCCAGTCCTCGGGGGGGCTGCTGTCCTGCAGGTTTTACAGGTTTCCCTGTTTCAAAACACCTGATTCACATCAAAGAGCCATTAGCACACCAGTGCAAAGCCCGGCAATGTCTGGAGGAGATCAAATTGAATCAGAATCAGGTTTACAGAAGCAGGAACATGTCTAAATACTGCAGGACAGCGGCATTGGAGGACTGGAGTTTGACACCCCTGACTTACATGGTGCTGAGATCTGTGATAAGGCAATGTTGAGAGATAACATATTCATGTCTCTCTTAGAGCTCCTCCATGTGTCGTGAATTGTGTACTTTCGTGTGTGTGTCAGGGATTAGCAATCATTGGGCTGATGTATGGTCAAAACAACCTATTTTCCTTTCTACAAAAATACTTTATTATTAGAAAATGGGCCAACAAATTAGATTTATTTATTAGTAATGCTTAATTTTTCACCTCTACATTTATTCAAACCCGAGTATAGTTGACCAGAGTTTGAGGATATGAAATTACTGCTAATTGATATTAAAAAAAAGTGTTTTATGTGAGAAATTAGAGAGTAATTTAACTTGCTTTAGTTGTCTTTAGTCACTGGAAGTTTATTGAGAATTTTACTGAGATTTTATTGAGATGGATATTATCGGATTTCAGACATGAAATCTGAGCTTGTCAATGTTGTTACTCCCCCACAGTTTTTTTTTTTCTCAAACATCCGCTCCTGGCTAAAGAATTTTGTGAGAAAAATGTCCTAAAGATATTAATTTGCTTTGGATTTAGTCCAGTTTTTTTTGTCCCCCTCCTGAGTCTGTGGTGCCTGAATGAAGACCATGATTCCACTCCTTGCTAATTTTTCACATGACAAAAAGGGGGAAGAACAGTAATTATTAAAAATGAACTCCACCATGGCACTGGTTTACAGTTTTCACACCTTTTTGCTGGATTAATGAAGAGAGCTTTTGTCTCGGTGTGTGGTTTCAGGAGAAAAAAAAAAAAAAGGGGGTGGGGGCTGAAGGTCAAAGAGGATGAGGCTCGCTGAGATAGAAAGCAGTAAATGCAATTAAATGAAATCCCAGCAAGAGCAAAGCGGGGAGAAGAGAGGGTTAAAACAGATCCCACCCGAGATGCCTGTCCAGACGCTCACTTTTCATCTAGATAGCCCTGCAGCATCTTTGGCAGCTCAGTGACTTGCTTTCATCCTCTAATTATCGTTGCACCATCATAAAAACCAGCCAGGTAATTTATATTAATTATACAGGAATGAGTATAACAGTTAGAAACGCCATGGCTTGACACGCTGTACATAACATGCAGTAAAATTGTCAGAGACGTGTGGGTTAGACCCTGTAATTGATCGATGCATACACTGAAAGAACCGCTCTTGTTCTCATGTGTGTGTGGACTTTGTGAATCAGAGTCAATAAATTATCATCAGCTGTAAGCTTATAGAGTCTTTATGTCATAGTGAATGGGCCCCTGCACCCATCCAATAGCTTGTCCAGTTAAAGAGACACAAACACAGAGGAAAACAATGACATCATGTTGGAGCCGGCACAGTAGAAGAGGTACTTATTGCAGGAAGGGACATTATATTTGCTGAGCAGGGCATAGGGCGATACTCGCAGCAGGCTTAATGACCTACTCTATTAGAATAAATGGGGAGCTGGAATTAAAAGTAAATAAATTCATCTGGATCATGTTAGATCCAGCACATTAGACACACATTAGCGTCTTGATTTAGACTCTTTTTGTGGTTTTGGTCATATAACTTCTATGCTGCTTACATTACACCCAGAAAAAGCATAGTGTACTTGGTCAAGAAAGGTTTTTTTTGACAATTTGTGCGCACAAGTGTTCACCAGCTCACCCTCGCAGTCCCTAATAACACCAGAAGTGAAAACTCACAATCCCGGATAAGCTGTTTGCATGCCACAGGAACCTGGCTTCTGTCAAAGATATCCAATTAGCATATCCATGCAACATAAAACGCAAAAGCAAAACCAAGGTGATACCAAATCCAGATTTCCCCCAAAGCGGAATAAGAAGTTTACGTGTCCAACACCTAACCATGGATTTCCTAAACCTCGACAATAAGCGGGATGCAATGCAAATGTAAACATTTCAAAGTAGGTCATTGAAAGCAGCTGTAAGCATACGTGGTTGTGTGTGTTTTCATGCGGAGAAGGGGAGATATGTGCCCGGGCCTGCTCTCTTTGCCTCAGCAGCCTGCTTTATGGCCCCGGTTGCCCTCTCCAGGCCTGTTTATGGATTCCCATAGAAAAGAGAATCATGGCCTCTCTAAGGAAAGCCAGCCAAAAACAACACCTCCACCACTGCACAACAGTCTTCCTCTGCCATAACTCATTGTGCTATTTATGTGTCTAAAGAAGGAAAAAAATAAAGTTTTCATAGTAAGGACATAAGATGACTGTAAATTCTGATGATAATGTTTAATTTTTTTTTTTTGGTGTGAAATAAAACTGTCACCACAAGTGTGTTTGGTTTATTGGATGTCGTTAAGAGTTGGTTAAAAAAAAGGGAAAAAAGATGTAGGATTTTTTTTTTTCTCTGTAGCACCGCCTTCACAATAACAGTTATTTCATGATACTTAGAAGATTTATCACATGAAAATGTTCAGGTTCAATAGGATAGTGAAAGCGCACCGCAGAGGAAATTCTCGGTGAGGGAAATATTTCACCTAATGTGTTTTCCTTCTGCTGTTTCCCCACAGTTTTCCTGTGTGTAGCTCTTTCCTGCGACTGTGCTCTAGAAGAGTGATAGTGCGAGCTCTCTGGATGCGTGCACGCTCAGAGCTGGCTGGGGTGGATTGCAGAAAGGAATCGGGAGAAGCCTGGCTCCTTTGCGGATGGGGTTTTTCCAATCACACAATCCCAGAGCACAAAGGTTGGCGTTGGCCGTGCTGCAGGGGCAGCTCCGGCGTGCTCTCAACTTGCAAAACCGTGCCACATCTGGTCGGTGGACGGGGCTCAGCTGGACTATGCTCCGGCCCTGCTCGGAGCCGCACGGGCAGGCTGTAATCCTGATGATATGCTGCTGATAGTGCTGAGTCCTGACAGCCAGAGGTTACATGCTGTTATCAGTCAACGGAAAGTTTTTGGTGTAATGATGATGCAAAAGAGCACTAAAAACTGGCCGTCTGTCATTTTCACTGTAGACCGTCGACATCAAATAGACCGCCGCCATGTTGGCTGTAAACCTTCATGAGTCTTTTGCTGGTCTTCATCACCTCCTACTGCTATTTTGCTTTTAAAGAATCCTTAGCTTGCCCTCTGCTGTTTTACTGCATTGTGTGTAAATAGTTTTTCTTGTGTTTTTTTTTTTTTTTTTTTGGCGTGCGCTTGAGCTTTTTCTCTGTGCATACCTCTAAACCCTCTGCATGTTCTCTCATCCACTCTTTCTCACTCTCTCCCCTCCCTCCCTGCGGATTCCCCAACCACACCACAACACCGTTAACAGACCGGCCTTGACAGATTTACAGCCCTCGTCTTTCCATTGGCCGCCAGCGTGACAGCCAAGATTTAACGCCGCCTTCTCATTGGCCAAGACTTGGCAGGTTAATTTATGGGCGCACTGTGATTTGATGCCTCTCGCCTTTGAAGTGAGTTACTGCTCTGTCGCTTATAGGACACAGAAACGGTGTCAGGTTGCAATCGTAAAATCTTATCCCTGAAGGGAGGTGGCAGTGGAGTATAATAGTCCTTACACCACGAGAGCTACTCTTGCAAGCAGAGGTAGCAGTGAAAGAGAGTCCTACCACCAGCTGTCGATGCAGAAATGCCTTTAACCAAAAAAAGAAAAAATAAATATATTCAGGCTGAAGAGTGTTTTCTGACTGGGCTGCATCGTGCATCCAAACCCATCTAATTTATTCATGTATTTGCGATATTTCCTACACCGATTTGATTTTTTCCGCTGACTGTTACTTTTGGTTTACTTGGGGTTCAAAAGATACCAAAAAATTCCAAAAATCCCTTTATCACACGTCTGATCTAATACATCTGCTCCATCTGCTCGCTGCAGCCTCAGTTTTCGTGCAGACCCATCATCTGTCTGCAGCCTATCTCTTCATCAGCCTGACAGCCTATCCACACAAGATCGAGAGGAAGGCAGAACGTGGCCCTGTAACGGCCTTCACCCATAGAAATCTCCCAGGGTGAATAGCACGGGTGCCCCTGCTCTGTCTATCAAGCTCAAGTAAATTCATGTGCCATCTCCCTTGGATATCAGAGCCCTCCCTTAACTCTCACCTCGAGCTCAAAGTACTCCGTTCAAGTGGAAAATTGTTGGGAAATAAAAAGACTGAGGGAAGCTGTGGGCTTGCCTTGTCAATTAGGATTGTATAATTTAAAAAAAGACCTTCTTGTGAACTTGATTACCAGGGGTTACACAGGTTGGCCCCTGACAATGTGCTATGCAGGAGAGAGAAAACAGGTTTTACATCTTAAGGAGACATGATCCCTCTGAACTCGGAGGTTGATGGATAGTTTGGCGGTGCGTTAAAAGGAGCTGAGACAAACATACCAGGGTAAAGTTCATTATTATGATGAGGTCTTTCTTGTAGAATCATGCTGCCGTTGAACCTTTGACTTCACCCATCCACGGCCGTGATTGTCCAGGTTACATAAACACCAGGGCATCTTTGCATTGCTGGAAATGTTCGCTGCTTTTGTTTTGCATGTTTCTGGTACATTAAAAAAAACTCGATAAATATGTCTTCTCATAAGATGCTGAATGTCCAACCCCTGTTAAGTCACTCATGGTCCTCAGAGAAAGTAAAAAATTGTGATATTTTCCTGTTAGCGATCGACAAATTCTAAAAGACAGCTATTGCAGTGGCTATTACACACAATGTCAAGTAATCCCCCAAATTGTTAAAGACTGAGCATCTGTACAAAATCTAATAGATGTTGAAGGATTTTCCTTTTTAATAGTCAGATGGCGGAAAAAGGGGGAACAGCAAAAGGCTGACAGACAGATCCATCTGTGATCCCACCAGTTTGTCCTGCATCTGATGAACATGTGTTACCATCAAAATATATATAAAAAAATGTACTTAATTGTAAGCTTATCTACCATAAATTATTTCAAACTAGCTTGTATATACATAAATGAATAGTAAAGTGGCAGGATGCAAATTTCTCTGGTCTGCAGAGAGCAGCAAACCTTTTTTTTGGCTGGCAGGAGAAACAACCAACCAAATACTTTGGTTTATTATAGGCTGACTTGAAACACATCATTATCTTCTGAAACAACTGACAGGATATTAGGGGTCACATCCAGTTAGGGAAATGGTCAGTGTGGTTACTTGATCTGCTATTACAGTTCTAAATTGAACTGGAAGACTGTTCTTGTTCTGTCATTTCAGAGCCAACCTGATGGGAAATCTCTATATAAATTTCAGAGGGCAATCACGAGATGGAGGATTACCTTTATTGGTAGGTTTTTGGACTACCACAACCCTTTTTTGATGAAAGGATTGCTTCAAAGTCTGCCACACTCTAGTCTCTCACATTTGTCTTTACCTCATTTGCACTTCCGTATGAGAATGCTCATAAGGCAACGGTAAAGTAATTTTGTTTTTCACTTTAGTAAAAGCTGTGTGAAATTCAAAGCTACCAGTGAGCTGTGCCAGAAAAACACCCTGAAACGGACTAATAAATGAGATTCAAGTCAAAATAGCAACACTTGATCAAAACACAGAAAAGTGTCAAACAGAATTTTATTCTGTTTTTTATCTTGGTGCATCAAAATGAAAGTAGGCCAAATTCAAAGGTTTCCCTTGTTAGCTGTCAGACAGGTGATAGCTATTGCTCCTTTTATCCTCTGTGCGAGCTTTTGAGTCCTTGGAGTGATAGGAAGGTGCTAATTAATCTTCTTGAGTTACGCCAATTAGAAAAGTGAGGACAGAAATTTGAATATGGGACAATTTGAGGCGTGAAGTCACTGAATGTTGCCAGTTGGGACATTTTGTTGAGTGGGTGGCTGCTTGCCTTCCTCCTCGCATACCTCCCAAACATTTACAAAATTTTGGTCACACTAACAGTGATCGTCTGGCACCCAGCTGACACCGTCTTTGAGCACAATCTGGAAGCCATATTGTCTTTTTTTATATATACATTAGTGCCAAATGACTATCTTCAGTTAAGATGCTTTTTATTTGACACCTTTAAAATTCTCATTTTGGTTCTGGATACCTCATGGGTATAACACAGACCAGGATTCAGCAACATAAATGATTTATTTATGAATGATAGCCCCAAGTGTGAGAGAATATTGCTGTATTTGGTAATCATTAATAAGTAATGCGTTCACATTTCCCCCTCTCGTTGCTTGACGAGAACTTTGGATTTATGGAAAATTCTTGCATGTAATTTCAAATGATTCTTAAGGGTGTGTAATAAGTCAATTTAAGATTTTTACCATCCTGCCGACAAAGTTAGTTCAACAGATAAGAGAGAGTGTGCATTTAAAGTGTTTAAAGGACAGAAATTTTCGTTATTTTAACATAAACACTCTTTAGATTTCTATAACTTCTGATCTTTGCATCTGTGCAAATGCTTGAGGTCGTGCTTCTATGGTGTTGCGTAAAAAAATGGGAGTAACCTAGAATGAGGAATTGAAATTTTAATGATGAGCGGCACAACCATCATGCTGATGGCCATGGAACACCTCAGACAGCTTAAATATCACTGCTAATTAACACGGAGAGGTGGGCTGTCACAGGCATGATGGATGCTTAGAGGGGGCACATCGCTGCTTTCAACCAACCACTGCTTCCTTTATTAATCAAAGCTTGAGATGAAAAGGCTCTCCCACACCTTGGGGAGAGGGAGATAGTAGGAGCTATTGTTGGGAGGGTTTTAATCATTTGCAGTGAGCCTGTGATGTGTTTGATCAGGCGCGACCAAACATTTGTCTTCTACAGAACGTTTTCTGCAGTTGAGCGCTTGTTTTGCAAACCTCTGAACCACCCAAATGTTTATGGAACCACAGTGTGCACAGGCGGCGGAGATTTACTGGTTGTTGGAGAATGTTTAGAGGACCTATTTTTTGTATCCCCATGACAGGAGAGTTGAGCCTGCAGAGGGCCGGACTATCAGTCTGGCTGAGTCCTCCTCTTTGATGGAGGGCGCCACACGGAGGACAAGGCGGCACTCCCACACTTTTACCTCTGGACTGACTCCATGATCACTCCGTCTTGCCGAGATGAGTTCAAACCTCGATGATTTCCGCACTTTGTGCATGAAGATGGAGTGTTATCTCCACTCTCTGATCTCCTCCCCACTACCTCACTTAAGAAGGTCCATTGTTGAGTGCAAGGGGCCTGTGGGTGCTGTAAATCAGGCTGCAGAGGGAGGGGATGTCTCCCATGGGATGAAGGCACACACTCCTTGCAGCCTTCAGGCTGATCTCATTCTACCTATCTTAATGCTGTAATTAAAGAACAAGTCAATAGCAAAGGGGAAGGTGCTAAAGGGTATGATCTGTCCCCCCTACCATACAGCCATTGTGCCAATACCCACACAGGCAGAATTATGGGGGTAATGTACCAAAAGGAATACCTTTCTTCACTCTGAAGAATGTGATTTTCAGATAACACCACACCGGCGATAATAGCTGTTTGATTAGCGTCTTGATAATGTTGTTTCTGAACAGGAAAATTTCAGAGAAATGAACCCCATGACAGTTGTGTTTAAGACGTTCCTTTTCAGGGGAGTTTAAGCAACTCTAAATCCATTTTATACACCTGGATGATCCAGCTCTTAAGTGGGAGGTGCTGCCGTTCAGCAAGAGGTGTGGTACACCCTGAACACGCCACCAGTCCAGAGACATATGAAATATGAGACCATCAGCCATGGCCACCCACTTCAAGGGTCACTTTAAGCAACTTTTAAAACCAATCTGAACGTCCAAACTCATAAAAAAGCACAGCTCTATGCCACTCTTTCAGGTTAAATCAAATCCATATGAAATGTTGGAAACGCTCCAAACCAATCAGGGTCATAATGTGATACTTTTTTTGGCTTCAGTCATTCTGAAAACACACAAACAATAAAAAGCCTCTGAAAAAAGGAAGCACTTAGTTTTACCCAGTGCAAAGACCATCTGTTTCAGACAACTGTAAAAGGTTCAAATGTGAATTAGATTGCACCACCTCCTTGTATTCAGGGTGTTGTAAAAACACGCTGAATGATCATAAAGTGATGACGTTTTGTGAGCTGACATGCTAAGAGACACAGTTTTTTGTCTCAGCCTGATAACAGCGATCAGAGTAATGAACTCCGTTTTAAAACATTGACGTTTAATGTGAATTATTTTAGTGTAGCTGTGTTCAGAAAGGGAGGAAAACCTTTCTTATTTTCTCCCTCAGACTGGAGAGACAATCAGTTCTCATTTGGTCATGACTGCCATCTGCTGACATACCTAGTGAGCTACAATAAAAGAAAAACATTTACACAACAGTAGAATTTGGGCAAATTTCAGGTTGCAAAGCTTTTGGAGCAGTTAGCCCTTCCTTAAAAAAAACAACCCTCACACCAGGTTGAAAAGCAGAGTTTGTAGTTTGGTTTAAAAGAATGACACCAAAAAAATAGTCTTACCAAACCCTTTGTTGAAAACTAACTTAAGCATTCACTTTTTTTTTTAAACACCTTTATTGTGACCCTTAAACTCCATTTAGTACAAAATGATTAAGTCATAACTGACTTCAATCATAGCAGGACAAAATGGTTAAGGCCTTAAAAAAAAGATAAAAAAAAAAAAGAACAACACAAAATCTATACAAGCTTATCAACAAATACATGCAAGAAAATAACGTTCTAACTAATCATGGCTGTTATACTAAAAAGAAACAAACGGCAGCTTTTAATCTTCACCAAACAGAGAACCAAGCCTGCAGTGGTATCTTCAGCTGTAGCAGTAAATGAAGTGACTAAAGATTATAACTTTGTAAAAACCTTTGATTTGCTTTCTGAGTTTAGTTCCAATATACTATTTACTACACCTACAACAATTTAAATATATATTAACTTAATTAACAATAGACGGTTGGTAATGGACCCCAAACTCTCCTGACATCATCTAAAAGCCTGACAGAAACAGAGCTACCAGTCTATCGTAATACATTTTAGACTAAATAAAAGTTAAATCTCGTGTGTTCCTCCACCATCCAGTGTTTACAGTCGGATATTACTGGAAGCGGGCATTAACACGCTCGCTGTCAGCAACATCCAATGATCCATCTTCACTGAAGATGCTCAACGCAAACGGGACTAGACATGACATGGCACCGAAATCAGGGCACATTCATTCAGACAGAGGTCAGCAGTAGAGATCTGTTCATCAGGCATTTCACGTGTTTTATACTAACCGGACTCATCTGGGACATTTACTTTGAATAAAAGCAGTCGACGGGAGATCTATGTTTCCGACTCAGCCTGGTAAGCATTATCCATACAAAGGTTGTTTGAAAATCAAAGAGCTGCAGGTCAGATAACATGCTTACCCAACTCCACGTGCTTTCTAAACTATGATAAAAGCCGTTTACAGTCAGTGGAATCAGTTGATGAGTTAAAAGCGAAAGATAAGTTGGTGATTTCTAGGAACATACAGATAATACAATGAGTTTATATTTCATGGAAGCACTTTGCAAAATACTGTTTGCAAAAAAGGTGTTTTCCTTCTTCCAGTTGGTCTAAAGTAGATCACCATTCACAAGCTTAAGAAAAACATGGGCTCCTATAAACCTATTGGTTTTCTAGTGATTACTACTCACAACGTCGAATACTAATAGTCAGGATCAAATTCATTTAAAACGAGGTTGAAGTTGGATTATTAATACCGTAATTAGTAGAGAAATTAATTTGAAGTGTTTTTCAGTCAATTGCAACTATTTCTGTCAGGGTGCAGCTGTTCTTCAGGTTTTACAGCTGGAAGATTATCAGGTACAAACTTAAGTTTGGATCCATTTAAGAGGTAAAAATGTGTCACTAGCTTGAATTTCACTCCTTACTAAAAGCATTTACGTTTTAAATCAGTGTAGATCCAACTGACCTTCAGTCATTGATTATTAACTACATATTTTAAAAGGATAACACAAATGACTTCTTCCATGCCAATGAAACAAGTTTCTGACTGGCATCAGAAGAAAAAAAAACAAACAAACAGGATTTTACACTAACAGGTTGCAACATTTTGTGTGTCCAATGACATAGAGGGGTGTAGGGTGGACTGCAGGTCTAAGGAGAGAGGAAGTGCTCCTATAATCTGACTGTCCGTGCAGTCAAAAGTATATCAAAAACAATCTCAGGGTGATGACTCCAAATAAAACCTCTGCAACCTATCAGATCACCGGAGATGTGTGCGTTTCTCTGTTGAGTTAATTCACTTATTGCCTTAAATTGTCCAAATTAGTCCATCCCCTTCTGGTTTGAGTATAAATGTAACAGTTAATTAAGAAAAAAAAAAAAGCCTCCAGTATCAAGCTCTGTAAAGGAGCTGCCGGGAGCAAACTAAAGTTTGGTTGTCTTTAGCTGAAACTACTTTCAGGTCGAACTCCAGTGAATGGTGATACTAAGGGGCAGCCTGCTGTACGGAGGCTGATGGTCAGACAGTTAGGCGGTTGTTAGAAGGCTGTAGGGGGCTCCAGGAGGCGGTGTGAGCAGGTGTAGCCTGGGAGTACTGGCTGTCGTCTTTGCCTATCCCAACTGTACACAGCCGCCGGTGTCTCAGCAGTCTGTCTGTCCGTGAAAAGTTCTGCAGCGGGGGGCAGGAAGCGGCGTGTCAGCAGGGAACATTCACAGGTATTTTAGGCGTACCGAAAAAGCAGCCGACTGACCTGATGGCATCGATCACACTGGTAGGGCTTTTCTCCACTGTGGACCCTCTTGTGTCTGTCCAGGTGGTAGCGCTGGATGAACCGCATGTCACACGCGTCACAGGCAAATGGCTTCTCTCCTGTAAGCAAGCAGAGGGGCGGACCACTCATCAGCATACACCGGCATGCTCTCCGGCTTTAATACTGCACTCTATGAAGATGCCCGTCTTATCGCAGCTTCATTAAAATCACACGGAGCAAAACACAAGTCATTTTTACAAAGAGGAAATTAATGGAAAGAAAAAAATACACAGAAAAGACAGATATATAAAACATATAATGAAAACACATGAATAGAAATGAAAATGTCTGTACACTTCAAATTAATATAAAAAATAATTAACGTGACAACAGGGGTGATGGGTTTTTGCTGATTTTCCTGACAGAACAAAAATCCCTGCAGGGATCCACTCTGTAATCTGATGTGAATAAATGAGCTTCGAGTTCTCACCCGTATGTGTGAGAATATGTCGCTTGAGGTGGTAGCTGCTCCGGAAAGCACCATAGCAGTGATCACAGATGAAGTTCTTCTGGACTTTCAGGGAGTTATCGTCATCCATATCGATGGCTGGAAGCATGAGCTATCAACATTGACACAATTAGATAAGACTGATTTCTGACGCCACCGGTATCTTTGGATGTTCAAAATCTTTTTCTTTATGATTGGTAGCTTTGACACTATCCTTACCTCCACTTTCTCTTTAACTTTGTGCGACGACCCAGATTTTTTGTGTTTCTTCTTGGGTTGCATGTTCTGATTTGCCCGCACTTCCTTGTCATCTATTATCCTTGATGAGTGATACTCCCCGTCCTTGCGGATAAGCTTTTGAGGGAGATAAAATATACATCTTATTAGAAAAAGTGTCTTTTTTTATTAACCATTACTTCACATGTATATGATTGCCATTAACTTCGATCCGACAATTTGTGAAATAGTATCACTGTAACAGTATTACTTTTCAAAGGTTTTTGCAAAATGCCCACAAGATTTATCATTGGGTTTGATTCATTCAATGAACTGGTCCGTTTCTGGAGGTGCAACTTACTCATTGAGATGGACCAACCTAGCCCTAACCTCGGGCAAACAAAGCCACCCATACAACTTTATTAAGAGGCCATGTGTTTGACCTCAATTCTAAAATTTTAAACCAATAAGTCCCACCTGTGGATGTAATATAACCTATACCTCTTCTTTTTCGTATCGTGAGGACCCCCTAAGTTAAAGAAAAGGCTCATCTTATCCCACATCTCCACATTAAAAGTAGGAAAAATGTTTTCTTTACACAAGATAAAAGACGGTGCTCCAGTGGTGGCCATAAGGATGTGGTATTAAGCTCACTCACCAGTGGTGGACAGCTCCCATCTGGGCGGTGCCCCCCGTGGCTTTGGTTGGCTTGTCCATGGTGACCCTGGTGCCCATGGTGGTTTTGGCTGTGGTGCGAGTGGGCTTGGTTACTCTCGGGGCTGCCTCTGTGGCTCTGACCCAGGGCTGAGATAATCTTCTTCTGGCCTGGGATGTTGTTGGCTTGCATCAGGGCCATGCTGGACAGCACCGCCTCACAGCCCAGCAACCCAGCCTGGCAACACAATAAGTAACATGTCAGAAGATAAGGGTGTGTGCCTGTGTGTGTGTGTGGAGGGGGGGGACTGACAAGGAGTCAGGGGAATCTTGGAGGGAGGGTTGAATAATGGGAGAGACAGATTCATGTGACCATGATGGTGAGAATGGAGATGGAGAGACTTCCACTGACCCATTTCATATGGTCTCGAACTGAACTGTTGGAATGGTGTGTCATCTTCTGGTTTGAATGCGTGTGTGTTTGAGGGGACAGAGGGGGCTTCACTCAGGATGAAGGGTGATAGAAGAGACCACAGCCCCCCTAATCATCAGGGGCCCAAAGCCTGAAAATAGAGGCATATGAATATATAACCAGATGCTGAGGGCCTTCATTTGGTGATTTCTTTCTTTCTTTTTTTTTTTTTAAATCAGGAAAAGAAGCCTCTGTGATTTGACCTCAAGCCTGTATGACTGCTGGAAAACAAAGGAAGCAAAAAAGAAAACCATGAAAAGATGAAGACAAACTTAAAGCCAAACCTGTTACAGGAACATCATTATTTACTCCGAAACTGTCAAAAAGCCATATACACCACTGATTGTTCGAGTATAGAAAAATCTAATGCATCAAATGCAGTTTGGAAATGAACTGAAAGCTTTAATTAGCTATGACTAAACAGACACCAACATAGCATTTAAGAAATATTAAGATAAATCTTACAGTAATCCCAAACCTAGAATTATAATGGTGTAAAACATAGCTCAACAGATTGCTCTAATATTCCATATATTATTCAATATACGATAACTGGTGGGTTCTGAAGTGTGAAGGGTCCAGCAGTGACTCCCCACAGCTTCATATTCCTGGTTTAAAGAGTGCGCAGTGAAAATATCTAAAAAATTGTAAACATTGTTTACAACATTTGTATGATTTTCTTAAAATGTTGTATTTGGGCCCCACACCAAATATATGCAATATTTGTGCATGTGGTTAAAGTTTGGGTTAAGTTTTAGTTTTTTTAGTTTTGGGGCAGGGGTTAAAAACTGAAGGATTCTGTCACTCTTCCGGGGTCCATAAAGAAATGCCAGTGTCCTAGCTATAGGAACCCTAAAGCATACCCACAACCATCTGAAACTAAACAAAACCAGCTAAATGTAACTGGATGTACTGGAGAAGGCCCTAAAAAATATTCCAAGTATCTTCTTTATTTAGCCCACAATTAAAAAAAACAACTTCTTTCCATTATACCACTAAATTATCTTAAGATTTCCAGAAGAATACGCACAACCTAACAAAGTCCACCACAGGCTTGGACAACAAGCTAAACTAGTGGTGCTACATGTATGTTACTGCTGTTCTCAAAGTCTTTATTTCATGGGTTTCTCTAACTTCTGTGAATAGACCCACAGGTGCAAGTTTTCAGGAAGCTTTTCTTTATGTGATGGGTTTTATTTGATCCATCTTTTCACTTTATCCTTCGATCATGTTTTTGATGATTTACTAAAGAAACCATGTATTCCGCTTAAACACATTGGAACACAAATAAATTAAATTAGGTATGGAATCAAAGTACAAAACATTTAATCTAGAAACTATACGAGAAAAGAAATAAAGCATAATACGTGGATCTTACGTTTTTAGCACATGTACGAGGCAAAAGGGCCAACTAGAGGCTTGCCCCCCCAGTAATTCGCGACCCCAGTAATAGGCGGTAAAACAATAGATCGCACATGATCGGGCATCTGGGACTTCAGACAATTTGAGTCAAAGTAACGCATTTGTATTTAAACCGAACTTAAAAATGGTAAATAGTTTGCAATATGGATCGTATTTTCTTCTGATTTTGCAAACATTATCCAACTCGTGAGCCGATGTTAGCAAGGCACGAATACTTTAACCGCTTGGAGAGGAAAAACAAATCCGTGGAGAACTGATCCCTGGAAGTCCGTCTGGACCACATGACATTGGGAAGCCAGTTAGACGTGATCAGGGGTGGTAAATATAGTGTGCCGTGTGCCAGCCAAACAAAACAAAACGCAGAAACCAGCTAGCTAGCCAACAGAAGGGTTATGGGACAACTCTTGTATGGCTGAATTGAACCCCCACCCCCCGTCCCAGACAACACAAAAACAGCCAGGCAGGCAGGCAGGGCGTGCGGGCTCAGAGCCGACCCCATAATAACGCCTCCTTCGCCGGCTACAGCTGCTACGAAACGGCGAGCAGCAGATTATAAAATGGCAGAAAGCCCTTCGAGAGTAGTCTCCCAAAACAGACTGCTTACCTTTGTATTTTAGGACCACTGGAGATTATTATTTCTTGTCGCAACTCCAATTTTTTTCTCAGTTTACAAACAGTGACAGGAAACACTATCACCGGAAGTGCTCCCCAGGGAGAGTTCTGATTGGTCATTTACCGAGCCATGTGACCTAAGTGAAATAACGCAAATTTAAGAAATAATTTATTTTTTATACATTAACAATATTTATAAAGCTAGAATATTTAATATAGAAAAAAGATCAGTCGGTTAAAACAATTATTGAAAAAAAACAAAGCCAAACAGATGTTTTTAAAATACTTCTTTACTCAACAATGAATATAAATTTGAACTCAAAACCTCCATGAACATCTGACCGATCAAATGCAATGTAGATTTATTTTATTCTTCTTATTAATTGTGAAAGGTGATACAGAATGACCCGCGACCCCAACTGGGAATAAGCGGTTGTGATAATGGATGGATGAATAGATACATAATGACAGGAAAGGCATTCACAAAAAATATCTATATGAATACTTCATGAGGTGAAATAGTAAAAACCTACAATGCCAGAAAAAGAAGGTACATGCATTTCTGGAAATGCTCCTGAACTATACCTAAAAAGACCATTTTGATTCTGATAACCGTCATTGGTTGATTGCATGCAATCTTAAAATTAATCATGGGCAATGTGTTTACATGGGAAAAACTGTTATTTTGATTACAAATCTTTTCCCAGCCTTTCGATTTCATTGAGAAAGAAGTCCATGTCTTTATTGGAAATGAGCGGAGAAAATGCAGTCATGCGGAAGAAGTTGACTTTGTTTCCAAGAGGTTGATAGCCCACCATCATGGTGCCTTGTTTCATCATTCGTTCTTTAATGATCGGAGCCACCTTTAATAAAAGTGATAATAAAGTTAACTTGAATGTACACAAATGCAATTTCAAGGAGTTAGAAAACTCTGACTCCTCAATCTTCACTCTTCACTGATGTGGTACAGACACTTACTTTTGCCAGCCTTTTCTCATAATCTGCACTTCCCTCCTTCCCTCTCAGACTTGGTGGTATGAACCAGAAGCACACATTTACAAACTGCGGCTGTTAACAAAGACAAAATAAAAAAATGAAGGGATAGTGTATGCCAAAAAAAAAAGCTTTTGACGTGACATTACCTCTCTCAAAAGAAGGAACCCATCCCTCTTTTTCATCTGCGCCACCAAATACCTGCAAAAGCAAGTTTTTATATTCAATTAACCTCAGGTGCCGCCTGTTGCTAAGAGATTCACAATCAGTTTGTCAGTGAAGCGTTGAGATGATTGAAATAATGGCATTTTATTAATATTTTTATTTTTAATGATAAAAGTATAAATGACATAGTCACTGAAAAGGGCTAATTAAATCTGATATTCACAAGAAAAATGTAGCACTTCATAGATCAAACCTCCCCTTCAACCCATTAGGGAATAAGCGGTTACGATAATGGATGGACGGATGGATAGATCAAGCCTTTGATAAACAATTATATGTAATACAATTTAACTTGTGCTACATTCGTCCTGGTTATGACCCGGCCATAATGTAATTGTTCTGAGAATCTTAGTGGGTTGAGTGGAATGCATATGAACAGAATATGTAACATCAGCAATTAAGTACCTCTGCAGCTGCAGCCTAAAGGAAAACTGTTTTCCACATGGTTTAATGCTCAGAATTCATTGCATTGCTTCTCTGTCCCTCTCTTAGAGCCATTTTGCAAACAGTGGAAGCACATCAGCGCTGTATGTGATATTATTAGCTGGATGTATTCTAATTCGAGCCAAACTCACTGATTCAAAAGTCCAGAACAATTCTTTTCTTTCTGAATTATGTGACAGTTGGCACGCCATGCCGTGGTACATAAACCACTGGCAGATGGAATGGACTTGATCAGGAATCTAATGACACATTCACCTAAATTAACAGTGTTTGTATAATAGAGTTTAAGTGAGACTTAGTTTGTATGGTAACTCTGACAGCTTTAGTGTTTTGAAATAAAATGAAGTGGTATACAACTGAAGTCAATTAGGACATTTAAGCCCATGAAGTCCTTGCAACACTCAAAAGTTCCCTGCAGCTGCAAGGCCATTAGGAATTCAGCAGGGCGTAGCAATGCTCTATTTACCTCACATGGAGGAAAGCTTTGTCAACGCGCTCTTCCAAGCCACTTGAGCCAATAGCTTTCCACATTAACCAAAACTTCACACAATCCACCTTCCGACTGCACTGGACAGACTTATCTCCGATGTCCAGATTCACATCGTAGAATTTGTCTTGCTGAAAAAGGTACGAGGCGTTGGCACCGTGGCATTGCTTCAGTAAGTTCTGAGGAACACAGAAAGATATTCATTCAAAAATCTTTACAAGTTGAAACTAAAAGTGTAAACTGGTCCTGTCATAACCGTCATTTTGTCAGTATGTAGTCTTAAACTGTGAAACCAAACCGTGGTATCTTTCAGCAGCAAGACAGAGCATTGCAGGCCAGCCACCAGCATCTTATGTGGATTCCAAGAAACTGAATTAGCTCTGCAAACACACACATACGCACACAAACACAATGCAGCAAACTGAAGTCTATTGTCAGACATTTGAGTTTGCTAATCTAAGTCATATATTGTTTTCCTTGTATTACTCAGTCCATATTTCTTGCTTGCTAATACCTTTCAGCTCCTTTCATGAGATGCTTGTGTTGCTTGGAAAAGAGCACACTACCTCCCCATGCAGCCTGAAATAAGTGGATAAAAAGACACAACTTACATTTACATTTCAACAGACACAATCTCTAAAGATCAACACCTGCCATCTCACATTAGTCTCCCACAGTATTACTCACGTCAATGTGCATCCAGAGTTTGTGTTTCTCACAAACATCAGCTATACTGTCCAGTGGGTCAAAGGCACCCTGCACCGTGGTGCCTGCGGTGCAGCTGACAAGGAATGGGACTGCACCCTGAAGGGATCAAACAGAAAGCACAGTTTCCTCTTTTGGACCTTCAAAGTTTTACTTGGTTAAAATAAACAAATTCAACCGGACATCCCTTATATACATGTATATTTAGTGATTAGACCTGAGATTTGGACAGCTTTATTTTTTCTTCCAGGTCCTCAGGAATCATTCTGCCTCTGTAGAGAAACAACAATTCATAGAGGGAAAAAAACCCCTCATTTAGTGTGATTGCTATAAACAAGTTTCTAATTCATGGAAAGCCAGGAAGGAATCATCTAAAATTGACATCAATGGGTGAATGCGTAATCATTTACCCATCGTCCACTTCCACCACGATGACATTGTCTAGCCCAAGGCCCAGAAATGCGGCCCCTTTCTGCACAGAGTAGTGGCTCTAGAAAACATGAGGATGCACTCTTCAGTCATGTGGAACAACTGGAACAGTCTTAAAAAACTTACAAATGTAAACTAAAAACATTTAGTCTACTGAATGAGATAATCATAATGACCTCCTTTGATGTAAAGACAGTCAGTTGCGGGAGACCGCACAACCCCTGACGTTTGACTTGTGGGAAGAAACTGTAGCGTGCCAGGTTCATGGCATACATGTTTGAGCTGGACCCTCCAGGGCAGAATAAACCATCACCTTCTGTCCAGCCCACAAGCAGACGTAATGCCTTTAAAACCTCAGTCTCTATCAGTACAAAAACTGGTGCCACTTCATAGGTGAAGCTGAAAATGACGAGAAAAAGAATGGGTCATTTATTGATTACAGAAGTGTTCATGTTGCGAGTTATTTTTGCCTTGAGTCATAGAATGACTTGTAAACTCCAATGCTTTTAGTGTTGGTTAGTCTGTTTCTGTACATCTGTCAATCTGTGAAAATACAGTTGTAGGAGGATTGTGGATTTTTAGAACTGGCCATGGTGCCACTGACCAGGGCGACAGGGGCTCCACTCCTAAAAAAAAAAGAAAACCCACACAAAATCCCTCAAAGTTAACATATTGTGTGTTACGAGCATGCTAACTTCTAGTATAGTTCGAACAGTGTGACACTCTGTGATACTTTATACTATTGATGACCAGCGGCTGCTATATACAACTGACACTGGGCCTAAAACTCAGCATTGTTAACCAGTTCATGACAATGACTTGTCTGTACATCTGACAGAAGTCTGTCATGATTGGGATTTTGCTAGTTTGGCCAAAACAATGCCGCCTGTCGTAAGAAAAGAAAGGTGGATGAACCAGATAAAATGACTCCCAGTTTCTTGACATTTTTAAGATGAGGAATAACTTTGCATGACCAGTGATATAAACCTCAGTGTCAAAATCAGATGAGTTCCTAGAGGAGGAAATCACAAAAATGATGGCCTTGTCAACAGTGTTTAATAGAAAAATAATATTTGAGCAACACAATTATGGGAGAACCTGAGAAAAAGGAAGCACAACAATCATCCCCTAAAATGGATGTGTTGCTGGTATCCTCTGTGCTGTGGAGCATTCAGTCTGGCATTGAAACACATAGAGAAGAGTTGAATGTTAATGATTTCTTACAGTATCATTTCCTTTTTTTTTTCTTTTTTCTTTTTCAAATGGAAATATAAAAATGAATTAACAGTATAATTTTCGGCATGAACCCCAGTGAAAATATTTGGATATTCACTGCTATACACTTTTTTTTCATTTCTTACAGGTTGGTGTTGAGAGCCTCAGAAAGGAAACGTCCAGCCAAGGAATGATAGTCAACGCCACCATACTGCTGATTGAAGAAATGCGGATGAGCTGAAAATGACAACAAAAAGACATGTCAAATAAAAAAAATGATCCATCCAAAATACAGTTTTTGGTGTCTCTGTGAGTCTTACTTGTCTTTACGCTGTATTTGGCGACATCTCTTACTCTCTGTAAGAGCCTGCCTTGTGGCTCCCCGGAGTCTCTCAGCTGGAGATCCAGCAGCAGAGCCAGCTCATCGGGGTCTTTCCACTCACACACCTGCACAAAAGACACACGTTCAGCAAGTAGGCCTTTTCAGCAAACTAAGTGAGATATTTTGTGCTTCATCAAACACCTTTTGCTTGACATCTGTGCCTTTGCAGAGCACATCCTCCACAATAATTTTGAAGGCTTCATTTAAGAAGAGCTGGCCCTCTGCATGGTCAACAAGAGGCTCACTCAGGTCATGGAGAGTTGGTTCCATACTGAGTCCATTTGCTAAGTTTGAAACAGGTAAGACCATCACACAGTAAGGAAATGGTTGCAGTGCAAAGTAAAGAGACAGATATACACGCTGTACTTACATGATGATGAAGACATATGGGCCATGTTCACACAGTTACAGAGCTGGGTAAATCTCTGCTGCTGTTTTCAGACGGCACTTATAAATAGACCAGAAAATGGCACCAGAACAAAATTAAAAGTATGCAGTGGGAGGGGCATGACCTTTGCCCCAAACCAAAAGTTAATGAACACCATCCAAAATGACACAGGACAGTGGGAGAATTGGTGGGAAAAATACTAACTTCTGATTTATGAGTTTTGGTATCGCAGTAGAAAGATAAACTTTATTACTTTAATCAAGTTCCATGAAAAACGTATTAGTTCAGAACCAAGACTAGCAGAAAAAAACTGTCATAAAGCTAGAGCAGTAACTAAGGTTGCTAAGTACAAAGGACAAATGATCTACCATACAGGCAAGTAAAGTTTTTTATTAGTGCAACTCTGCAGTTCTATATTGTTCTTTTTATTCCTCTAAACATTTCTGATGCTATATTTATAAAATAATTACATTTCTTATGTTGAAATCAGTGTGTTTGGTTTATGTTTAATATTTGTGCCCAGGGAGGGATTAAAATTCCTTTCTTGCAAAGGAAAATTCCATCTCTTCTCTTGTTAAGCTTTAAGCCAAAGTGGCACAAAGGTGAATCCTGGGCTGATCGTATCAGCCAAAGTGCACGTCACAACACTATTCTAGAAAATGATGTGGTGATGTTGCTCTGTATCTATACATGCAATGTGTGAACTTAGGTCAACTTTGAAAATCTACGGCAGAAAACCAACGAGACGGCTGTTTAAATCCAACTCCTCCACAGCGATGTTAGACTCATTTACTCCAAAAACACCCATATGTGTTATGTTATCTGTGGAACCACATCTATATGACATGTAAAGATGACAAAATTAAATAGAGTAAAAAAATAGGGAATTTTTATTTTCCTTTTTTATATTCAAACTAAAGCTCACAGTTCTGTTGTTTTAATAATTTGTCCTTTATAAAAGTTTATAAGACACCAGTGGTGCTGTGCTTAAAGCATTTCAAGTAAACATTTTTTGTGGCAACCACAACATAACGTCAGAGTAAAATGTCTACAAAAAGAGTCCCACTCAGGGGGGCTCAATAGTCTTTTGGAGTAGGAAAAATTTAGGTACTATTCTTCTCCATGTGAGTAGGAATTCAGTAATCCTGTAAAAGTCTATGTATCAGCTGATGAAGTCTCCAGGAGAGGTTTAAGACTCTCGGGGGGCAACTCCAAGTCTTCTTGGCTGAGGAGGGAGTGCAGGTGAGCAGCGGTGGCTTTTTCTCTCTGGCGTGTTCGCCAGCAGCGCAGCATGGCAAAGACTCGCTCCACATGGATTGAGTGGTCCTCTTCAATCTGCTCCAGCTTCACAGACGGGATGCCCAGGGCCAGCCTGCCAATCTCCCTCCAAGACTTGCCGATGTGACGGGCCACGGACATCAGCTGCTTCTCCCTGACCAAACCCCGGTCTGTGCAAAGAGGAAGCGGCAGCTTTTGTATTGGACGGTTTCACTTTTAGGAAGAACACACTTCATTGTGTGTGTATGTGTGAGGCTTACCATTGCTGCAGATCTGTTTGGGTGGAACCATAACCTGTAAATCAGGATCTTTTCTTCTTTTTCTTGATATGTCCTGCTCCCCTTTTAAAGAACATTTAAATTTAATACTATGAGACTGCTGAAAAGACTAAAACGTTTCTTTCTTTTTTAATTAGATTTTCTTTACCTGAACATGGAGTTTCGACTCGCAAATCTTTAAAATCATGTAGCTGTGGGAAAGTCTCCAGCAGGTCTCTTTCCTTCAGCAGCTCTAATAGTCCACGAGCTGTTTCAGGCCCTCTCTGGATGATATGATCCAAAAGGTCTGTCACCTTCTCACTGGGATTCCGGCAACATTTGACTTGTTGATAGCCGTGAGGAGACAGCAGAGAGCGAGCGTCTGCGTGCTGCAGAACAAAATCTGCATCTGCACTAAGTATCTCTATAAGTTTTGCCTTCTGGCGTTTTAGCAGCTGGACTTCTGATGCAGGTTCCTCAGCCATGACTGGAGGATCCACTTAAATGACACTTTAGAAAGATGAGGAGACAGATCAGGAAAAAGTGCTTTGATAATGTGTATGTACAATATACCAGAATACCAATATACTCTATTTAATTTTGTCCTCTTTACATGTTCTATAGATGTGGTTCCACATATAACATAACACATATGGGTGTTTTGGAGTAAATGAGTGTAACATCGCTGTGGTGGAGTTGGATTTAAACAGCCGCCTCATTGGTTTTCTGCCGTAGATTTTCAAAGTTGAACTAAGTTCACACATTGCATGTATAGATACAGCGCAACTTCACCACATCATTTTCTAGAATAGTGTTGTGACGTGCACTTTGGCTGATACGATCAGCATCTGAAAAACCCCCAACATAAAATAACAAATTATACAATAATAACGTCCTTACAAGAAAGCTTACTTTGTGGGTGTTCAGGTTTAAAAATAATCTGCTGTCCTCCTTTTGTTGCTATTATGAACAAACTTGCTCTCCTACAGGAGGGACAGGCTAATGCAACTTGCAGAATAGAATAATTATAATAATAATTATTATAATTGCAGAATAATTGTCCTCTCATACAATAAAAAAACAGCTGTAACATGCACGATACGATCAGAATGAAGCTGCTTTAATCGCGAAACTATTTAAAATCTCCTACACTTTCCTGTCGGACTTCCTGTCCCCCTCCTTCCTGCTGTCGTTTCCTTCTGTGGCTTCTGCATAAAATGGTCCCTTTCAGTTTGCTGCCATCTAGCGGATGGAGGATTTTACTGCAGAAAACCGCGGCGGCTTGATGCCACCTGGCGGCACCACTCGAACACTGCATGCATTGACGAGCAGAAATCCATCAGGGTTATTTTATTTTACGGTGGCCCTTTTGTACAAAACACTTCCATCCTTTCATTTTCCGCAGCTATTAATTATAATCAGTATATTTTAGAGCGTAGCCAAGATGCCACAGTGCATTCCATGAAGGGGTAGCAGTACCGACATCATTTAACAGAACAATAATTTTTGATGGTGGGAGTGAAGCTGGAGCATCTAGATATGCTAAGCATGCACAAACAGAAAATGAAAACTCCAAAGGTTTTAATATGAATTTGGACTAGATGTCTGTCTGTATGCAACACAATGGTTGAAAGGTGGTCCAAATTGACTGAACCCATATATGGGTTGTGCGGGAAACAATCTCCACAGTTCAAAGACCCCCCCCCCCCCCCCAAGATTGATGTAAATAGCTTCTTCACCTCCTCTCTCAAACTATGTGACCTCTTTGTCTAAAATGTATACATTATTGTGCTCAAAAGAGTGATCCTTGTCTTTCAGAAGTCTTCTGATTGTAATGATCTTGTGAAGTGGCTCTTTAGTTTCTCCTGTGTCAAGGTCTTTGCCCTCCTCTCTACAGTGCATACATTACAACAGTCAGGTAATGTGTGGGTGTTTTGTCCTATTGGGGGACCAGTCTCTGTCTGAGCTTTTGGTTTTGAAATGCATTTAAATTTGGTGCTTGAGGAAGATCTTACTTCAGGTGTAACTCCAGTCACAAATAAATATTTATAGGATCTACAAAGATTGGTGTTGACTGAATACTGTACAACCTGGTAATTTGCCGCAATTTCACATATTAGAGAAAAATGAAAAATTAACTCAAAGTCTGCAACAAAGAAGCAAACCCACCTCCTGCTCTTATTCAACATGAATGTTAAACTGTAAAGTGATAGGCTTCACTCAGGCGTGCTCTCTAAAAACGTGGAGCTTGAACGTTCATGTTGATGTTATTCAGTTTTGTATTGCTTCAGTGCTGGCAAGATGGGAGTAAATATTTGATGGTTTTTGAATGACAAAAAAAAGCTAATTATCACGAATAGAAGTCATGTTTTTTTTAGATGGGTATAAGTTGAGGATGATGTTGGATGTGAGGTGCATCCAAGTTTAAATCCTCTTGTTACTTGTGTAACAATTATCAGGAGACAATGCTTTTGCGTGTCTGGTTAGCCTATTTACTGAGCTTCAGCCATAGGAAATGACAAATCAATACCTTATTCCAGGACAGGTATTTGCTTTGTGTGAAAGGAAAATTCTCAGGAGCCCATTTCATCCACACTGAGTATACACTCTGAGTCACTGTGTGTACTAGCTGTCTGAATAAATCCAGTTTTCTGTCTGCCTAGACTTGGTGGAGAGAGCTGAGCGAATGATCATTTATTCCTGCTATTTATCTTTACCACCCTGGTGAGATGGCAGTAAAAGCGAGGAATGCACCATTTATCCAACTTCTGATTTTATCATGAGATCAGTTTGACGGCTATTTGGTCTCGATTTTAGGAACATACACAGAATATATACGGTGATTTTAAGAATATTAAAAATTCAAGAAGCTTTCAGCTCTTAATGCAACATCAGATTCTTGTGTATTTAGTTTAAATCAAATTACGGCATCACAAGTAAAGCACACTCCATACAGAATGAGACATTGAACTTTGGATGCCTTTGAACGCACACAATCCCACTCACATTTTCTGCTTTTCAGGCCCCATCACATCCTCTGTCAAGTGGTAAACTCCACTTGCATGTGTGGATGGTATAATAGCTCCCACTCACATTGCTGATGGAGAATAATGCAGTTTCCGTATGAGTTGCTCCAACTCCATTCCACAGACCTCTGCACCTGGAAAATTGGGATTTCTTTTTTTTTTCCACAAGAGAATGTGTATGTTTAAGTGTGTTTACTGTTCCATGTACAGAGTTCAAGAGGGAACCAGCAGAGCTGCTTATCCTCCCCTTGCCTTAAGAGAAAAATTAGATTTACAAGTAAAGTCAGTGATGAGGGAAATCACTCTCTCTTTCGCACTCTTTAGCAGACTGAAGCACAAGGGACACATTTGTATGCATCAAACATTGCTCTGTACAGTCTGACACAGCGTAAGTGGAGACTACCACATAAAGAATGAAAGATGGTAAAAACTTTTCTGGTTTAAATGAGCAGGCCTATAGGCTACAGGCGTGACCCTGCTCTCTTTCAGGGTGACCGAAAGCCCAACCGGGGGACGGCTGTACGTTGGAATGACTCTGCCATGTCTGTTTGTTCAACATGCATTATATATGAAAATACAGAGCGAAGGTGGAAAGAGCAGGGCAGCAGGACAGCCAAACATTGGGGGGGGGGAAGTGAGTGGGGCGGCAAAATAGTCAGGAGGAGAGGGAGACAGAGGTCAAAGGAAAGCTGCAAAGTGAGCTCATGCTGTAGGTAGAAAGCTTTATTTTCCTGCACAGAAGCTGGATTTGGCATAATAAATGCTCAACTCACACTTAATATCAGGGATGTCATTATACTTACCTTAAGAGGACAGAAGGGTGCAATATCATGTCATATAAAGCCTCTCTAATAAAATGTGTTTACATATATATATGTATAATATATGTATATATATGATGCTATCTGATGCTTTTATTGCTTGAGGGAAAAGACTATTTGCAGAAGACTTATAGATTGAGGAAATAATGTAATTGATGGGTCCATTAAAGCCGATAGAAGTATAAATAATTTATTTTTGTGTGTGTGTGTGTATTCCACAGCACCCTCCCGTAGAGAAAAATGGCACACACACACACACACACACACATACACTGACATTTCCCTTTCTTTAATGTAATGAATGGAAAAGACAGTACGTCTGACTGACAGAAGAGATATATTCTCAGACTGCATTGAAGCCACATAAGAGCGACTGGAGGAAACAAATGATTGCAGGAGAAGGGCAGATTGTATGTGTGTTTGTTGGTGTAATCAGAGCATGAGACACAAAGCAATGGAATAAATGAAGGAGGTCAATAATGGGATTATAAAATAGAAAAACGAGCTAATAAAAACGACTCACTTCACAAGATAATGTTCCGTTTGCTTGAGATCATAGCAGCTCAGTCACAGAAAGAAGCAGGTATCAGCTTTTAATACTTCAAATAATTCAATGAATTAACCACTCAGAGTTCTTGTTTGAGATTTGTTGGGAATTCTGATAAACCAGGTGGATATAAAGGTGTGAGAGCCAGCCACTAGAGGGAGCTCTTATCATTCTGAAATCTCCGACTGCTTTTAGGTCTTAAATTTGAGCAGAACTTTTGCTTGATTTCTGTCACAAAATGCAGACTTCCCTCAGCCCAAAGACTCTTTGTTCTTGGGCATGAGATAACACATAGTCGCTTTAGCAAATGAGAGTGAGAAAGGCTCAGCAGACTTCTTCTTTTTTCAGAGTTTGGACAATCGTCTTAAGGTCAGTGGCCTGTGTTAAAACTGGTGTGGATCTGGTCTCTGTGAGGTGTGTGTCTGAAACATCACACCAGATAGAACCACCCACTGTACGTCTGACAATACACCACCGATGCACTTAGGATAATGATAACAACACGAATAAAGGTGACTGCAATAATTGCGGTCTTTGGCCTTGAGTCTATAAAACCTGTGGGCTGGAAGATTTTCTTATTGTTCAAATGTCTAGTTAAAAAGAAAACAAAGAAGCAGTATTGTATGTTAAGAATCAGGGATATTGCAAATGCTTCAAGAGTATTGGTATCATGAAAAATGCTCAAGTGGTCTGCTATTGATTGTACATATACAATAAGAATGAAAATGAATGAATAAATGTTGCATTTATTTGTGTGTGCAGAGACAAAATCATTATATACACTGATCGCCAAAATGAATAAAATTAGGTTAAAAGCTGCATCTTCCACAGAAGCAAAAATATATAATATGTGTGAGAGCAATGAGGCCCAAACCAGTTCCATCTACATGCAATACCAGTCTCAGGCAGTGATGCTTCTTTCAAATGAAAACAGTAACAGAGACAAGTTGAAATTGAATTCCACTGTTCAATCGAGACTCAAATCTTAGATTATCCTTGGTACTCATCATCTACCGATCTCATCAATACAGGACGGCAGTGCTGTTTGTGGCAAAATCAAATGTCTCCCTGTTGCTTTATTTGCTAACATGTTAATTACACAGATTACAGAATTAGTTA